AAATGAGAAGTGGTCAGAAGGTAACCAAATAGGTTTTAAGACAGATTGGATGTAGAGTATAAGAGAGAGGAGTCAGTAATGTCTCCAAGGATTTGGGCCTGAACAACTGAAAGAATAGGATGCAAAGCCCAAGTCCATTGGGAGGGAAAAGGTTTGGAGAGGCAGATCACCTCAGTTCTGGACATGATCAGTGTGAGGTACTCATGAGTCACTGGAAGTACACATTTAGAGTTCAAGGGGGTGGTCTAATCTAGAAACACAAATTTGGGAGTTATCAACAAAAAGGGTATTCATAGGTGATGCTTAAATCTGGCCGGAGCGTGAGACTGGATGAGACTACCTAGGGACAGGTAACAAATAGAAGAGGTCCAGAGATTGCACCATGGACACTACAGTGGTAAGAAATTAGGGAGGTAAGAAGTCATCTGCTAGGAAGCAGAGGGAGGTCTGAGAGATCAAAAGGGCCTCCAAGTCTCCTAAACTATATATTCGCAAGTAATCTCTCAGGGTGGGACTCCTGTGTATTTCTATCTTCTCTGTGTTTGGTCACATTATCAAGGCCCAGCTCAGAGATGGGTCTTCTTAAGGTCAAAAGTCCACAGGACTTAAGTGCGAATGATTGGCAAGCTTATCCTCCTACATACAATGTTAAAAAAAAGTCAGTTGAGTAAAACAAACTTCTAGGGATCCCTGGGTGGCGCAGCGGTTTGGCGCCTGCCTTTGGCCCGGGGCGCGATCCTGGAGACCCGGGATCGAATCCCACATCGGGCTCCCGGTGCATGGAGCCTGCTTCTTCCTCTGCCTATGTCTCTCTCTCTCTCCTTCTCTGTGACTATCATAAATAAATAAAAAATTTTAAAAAAAGAAATAGAGAATTTTGTTTTTTTCCACTCAGGTCTTCATAGTATCATAAGAAGCCTAGTCTCCCTTCCTATTTTCCTTCCCCTTCTCACCAAACCTCACCCCCACCCACTCATCAGCAAACCAGAAGGTGGCAAAAGCAGGGACATTTCACACTAAAAAAAGAAGGACATTTCCTTCTGCCCAGGACTCCAACCCCACAGCTGCCACCAATTAAGAAAGGTGATAGGAAACTGACAATGACATACACAGGACAGAAACACAGACAGGCAACTGAAGAAGAATAAACAAGAATAGCCACTAAACAGCTGAAAATAATGTTAGCCCTACAACAAAACACAATTTAAAACAACAAGGGGAGCCTAGGTGGCTCAGTTTGTTAAGGGTCTGCCTTTGGCTCAGGTCAAGATCCCAGGGTCCCGGGATCGAGTTCCATGTTGGGTTCCCTACTCACGAGGGAGTCTGCTTCTCCCTCTCCTTCCCATTCATTCTCTCTCTCTCTCTCTCTCTTAAATAAAATCTGGAAAAAATAAAATTAAAAAAAATAATAAAACAAGGCACTATTTCACCCATCAAAGCAGTTAAGTATTCAGATCCCCAGGGTTGGCTAGAGTAAGGACATGCACAGATACTACCACCCCAGTGCAGTCTTGTTTGCTTTTTGGAGAGTGGCTCAGCAACACTTAGATACCAAAAGCTATTATTTTTTTTTAATTTTTATTTATTTATGATAGTCACACATAGAGAGAGAGAGAGAGAGAGGCAGAGACATAGGCAGAGGGAGAAGCAGGCTCCATGCACTGGGAGCCCGACGTGGGATTCGATCCAGGGTCTCCAAGATCGCGCCCTGGGCCAAAGGCAGGCGCTAAACCGCTGCGCCACCCAGAGATCCCCCAAAAGCTTTTAAAATAACTCTATCCTTTAACCCTTTGAGTCAGTGATTTCACTTCTAGGAATTCAGCCTAAGGAAATAACCTAGACAACCACGCAAATATGCATGTTCGAGAATCTTCATTGCAGCATAGCTTATAGTATTTTTAAGGTTTGAGATCCACCTTAATGCCCCCACAATGGGAAACTGGTTTCAATGAACTAGGGTTCACCAAACAGTGGGGTACTGGTCAACCACTAAGAATGATGCTAGTCCGTGTGTCTTCTGGTGTGCTGCATTGAGAAGGACACTATAAGGGAAAGGAGGGAAAATGAGAGGGAAAAATTAGAGAGGGTGACAAAACATGAGAGGCTCCTAACTCTAGGAAACGAACAAGGGGTAGTGGAAGGGGAGGTGAACAAGGGATGGGGTAACTGGGTGATGGGCACTGAGTGGGGCACTTGATGGGATGAGCACTGGGAGTCATAATATACGTTGGCAAATTGAACTTCAAAAAAAAAAAAAAGATTGACTATATCTGTACAATGAATTGTGTACCCTATCTGCATTTTTAAAATGCAGACCCAAGGATTCTATTCTAAATTTAATGCCAAAATTAAAGGCTATGACATTAGCATCCAACGTAGTAAAATTCCTTAATACTAAACTTCTTGAGACGCCTGGGTGGCTCAGCAGTTGACTGACTGCCTTTGGCTCAGGTCATGATCCCAGAATCCAGGATCAAGTCTCACATCAAGCTGCCTGTGAGGAGCCTGCTCCTCCCTCTGCCTATGTCTCTGCCTCTCTCTCTGTGTCTCATGAATAAATCAATAAAATCTTAAAAAAAAAAAACTAAACTTCTTGATTATGAATTGCATCATGTCCAAAATGACTGAAAAACTTCAAATGGTAAAACAATATTAGGTATAAAAATGAGTTGGGCAGCCCAGGTGGCTCAGCAGTTTAGCGCCACCTTCAGCCCAGGGCCTGATCCTGGAGACCTGGGATGGAGTCCCACGTCGGGCTCCCTGCATGGAGCCTGCTTCTCCCCCTGCCTGTGTCTCTGCCTCTCTGGGTGTGTGTGTCTCTCATGAATAAATAAATAAATAAATAAAATCTTTTTTAAAAAATAACATAAATAAATAAAAATAAAAATGAATCTACAATATTGATGAAGCATGCAGTTAGAAAAATTCTAGTGTTATTTATGCATAAAATTAATAAGGATTTTGTAAAACCATGAGTACAACTATTTTTCTAGTTAGTAATTTCCTTTATTTACATTATTACCCATCAGAGGAAATATGTTGTTTTGTTCTTTCCCTTATATTTCATGTTTAATTAATTTACTGTATTTAAAAATAAAAATTACTATACCTTAAAAAAAAAGAGAGAAGGACACAGCCTTACTTTGGTGGTAATTCCTGGCCCAAAGTACATAAACTGAAGAAACATTAGACATACCTAAATTTAGGAATAATCTACAAAAGAGCTGATCTGTATTCCTCAAAAAATGTTAATATAATGAAAGGCAAAGCCAGTCTAAGGAACTGTGCCCATAGTAAAGGATGATGAAAAGATATGAAAACTAAATGCAAGGCATGATCCTGAACCAAGAAAAAAAGATATTATAAAGGACATTGTGAGGCAATTGGCAAATTTGGTAGATTATAGTATTGCATCAAGTTTCCTGATTTTGGTAGTTGTACTGTGGTAATGTTAAACATGTTCTTGTTCTTTAGATATTCACATCCATGTGTTTATAAGTAAAAGAATATCCTGTGTACTGCTTACTCTCAAATGATTCAGAAAAAAAAAACACTGTATGTAGAGAAATAAATGATAAAGCAAATGTGATCATGATGCCTATTGGTGATTCTGAATGAAGACTACCCTGGAATTATATTCTTGCCCCTTTTCTATGAGCTTGTTATTTCCAAATAAAAAGGTTTTTAAAAAAGGAAGGTATCCCAGGCACACCAGGCTGCAGCCTTGGGCACCGCAGTGCTGGGGGCTATGCATGGCTATTGATGACACCTCCTGTCACCCAGACTCTCAGCTTTAGGTGCTACTAGAGGAACTCAGTGTGTGACGGACCCCAAAACTATCCTGGGTTGACTCACAAAGGTAGGATGAGTCAAGGCAATGAATTTTCTTTTGTCATTTTATTTACTCCAATTTTTTAAAAGGTTTTATTTATTTATTCATGACACACAGAAAGAAAGGGAGGCAGAAGGAGAGCTCAGGACCCCAGGATAGCAACCTGAGCCGAAGGCAGTCAACTGATTGAGCCACCCAGGTGTCTCTATTTACTCCAATTTTGAAATCAAAATTTGGCGTTCCTGGGGCACCTGAGTGGCCCAGTTGGTTGAGCATCTGACTCTTGATTTAAGCTCAGGTCATGATCTCACAGTTGTGGAACCAAGCCCCTCATCAGGCTCTGCACTCAGCTGAGTCTGCTTGAGATTCTCTCTCCCTTGCCCTCTGCCCCTCCTACTGCTCGTGCTCTCTCACAGAACAAATAAAATCTTTAAAAAAAAAAAAGAAAAGAAAAAGAAAATACTGGCATTTCTTGCATCCTAGGGCTCTCTGTGGTGGAGGGAGGGAAGGGGAACATATCCAAATGTAGTGTTTTCTGTGGGTAATCCAGACTGCAGATTTTAGTACAGACAATGTTCATTTATCATTGATGATGTGGTTACATATTCCCCAACAAAGGCAGGCCAAGATTTCCCCCAGAATCAGCCTAGTATCTTCCCCATTCCCCAAAGGAAGAAAACTAAGTTCCCAGCAAGGGCTAAGGTAAGGGCCAGAAGTACCCTGGGCTCCCTCTGCCAAGGTTAGTGATTTCAATGTACAGAAAGTCGCAGATTGTCCAAGCAGCCTGGATACGGACCTGGAGCAGAAGATGTCTCAGCACCCCTCACCTCTGTTTCCAGGTCCTGACCATCCCAGGGCAAGAGGCAACCACCCTGCTATTCTCATCTCTAGAAAGGGAAGCCCACACAACAGAAGGGCTGGGGCTGAACCCAGAGCCCCCTCACTCCAAGCCCTGTGCTCCCCTCCTCTCACCTGCCCTACCACCACACAGTCCCATTCCTCCGGTCCCCAGGGGTTGTTGGGGACAGAAGGCCCCTCCCTCATCCCCCTCAATGTTCCTCCACTCCTCCCCCTCCCATCACTAGGGTGTCCAGGACATTGTGTGACTCAGGAAACAGCTCAGACGTGAGGCTTGCTTCAGGCAGAGGAGGAGGAAGGGGCTGTGGGAGCAGGGGAGGTAGCTCCCCAGTGAGGGCTCTGAGAGTCCTTGCCTGAGGAGGTGGGAGGGGATCTGGGTTTGGGGCAGGGGCTCTGGAATGCAGCCCCCTTCTCTGCTGCTGCTGTTGCTGTGTCACTCTGTCGTCAAGACCAGAGGTGAGGCAATGGGGTGGGAGAGTGAGGGGACCCACCTTCCTTAAGAGGGTGTCAGTGGGTTGGGGGCAGAGGGCCAAACCTGGTGCTTTGAGGGGACACTGGATGGAGGAGAGTTTCACCCCCTTGCCCAATGCAGGGAGAGCAGACTCTGCCACCGGAGCTGCACAAACAGGCTTTGGGGCCTGAGCCAGGGGCGGTAACTGTCAGAGGAATGGCTAGGAGGGTGCCCACTCCCAGAGAGAACCCAGCTGGGACAGGGGGCTCTTGAGATGGCTTTTAGGAGGTGAAGAGGGAAAAAACTGACCACCTGCTAGGGGAGGCGATGACAAGAAAGCAAGAGATGGAGACATGGGAAGGTCAAGGGCTCTAGGACCAAGTCCCTTTCCCCAGTCCAGCTGTCCCCACCCCCGGATGGCTCAATGCTGGGCTCTTCCGGGAGGAAATCCCTTCAACGTCTCAGCCATTCACCTTCCTGGAGTCCCCAGGGCCCCCTCCTGAGCCCTGTTGTCAGGGCTTCCGGGATGGAGTCCTGAGGCTGGGCTTGGGAGGCCTGGGCTTGGGAGGCCAGAGGATAAACAGGAAAGGGGGTGGGGATTAATAGCGAAGAGGATCTAGAGGCCTGGGCCTGGGATGGGGGGGGGCACTGGGGCAAGAGCACCACGTGGGGACCAGGAACAGAGGTGGTGGTCCCAGAGAGAGCACGGGTCGGGCTGCTACAGGCAGGTCCCTCCAGAGCACCCAGAGGGGGAAATGGGGAGCACAGTACTCCCCAGGCCCATCCCATCCTCATCTCCATCCCTAGTGCTGCCGTGTGGGGACTCCCCAGAACCCTGTGCCAATGGAGGCACCTGCCTGAGCCTATCTCAGGGACAAGGGACCTGCCAGTGAGTGTGCCTCCTGGGACTGGGAGACTGGAATGGGGAAGGAGAGCAGGGTGGAGGGGGAACTGGGAAGGAAGGAGAAAGAGAGGAAGTAAAGGCTCTGAGGAAGGTGGGAGAGAAGGCAAAGAGGGCCCAGTGAGTAAGCTGTCCTCTCTCCTCCCCTGCTCAGGTGTGCACCTGGCTTCCTGGGTGAGACTTGCCAGTTTCCCGACCCCTGCCAGGATGCCCAGCTTTGCCAGAATGGGGGCAGCTGCCAAGCCCTGCTTCCTGCCCTCCCAGGCTCCCCTGGCCTTCCCTCTCCCTTGGCCCCCAGCTTCTCCTGCACCTGCCCCTCTGGCTTCACCGGCCAGAGGTGCCAGGCTCTTCTCAAGGACCCCTGTTCTTCCTTCTGTTCCAAAATGGGCCGCTGCCACATCCAGGCCTCAGGCCGCCCACAGTGCTCCTGCCTGCCTGGATGGACAGGTGAGCACTGAGGGGGAAGCGGGGTGGTGGGGGGGACAGGAGCAGCTGGCTGGGAAAGATAGAGCTGGAGTCTGAGATACAGGGAGCCCTTCTGAGGACAGAGGCTGTGCGAATCAAGAAGCTGACTCTTGCTGACGATTTACCTGAGACTGACATTCACCAGCATGGCTGCACCGATGGTTAAAATGTTGAAGTCTTTCCAAACTTGTCCGTAAATGTCTCCTGCCATAGCCCCTTTTAGCGCACCACCCTGGCCTGTTTCCCTGGCCCCTCTGTCCAGCAGCCAGAGGGTTAACACCCAGCACAAGGTGGGGGAGGGGAACCTCCAGGATTCTGCATTTTGGTCATCTGGATGGCCTCTATTCTGAGGAGTGGGAGCCCAGAGCAGCACCTGGATAGATGTGCTGGTGGGAAGTGTAATGAGGGTGGAAGGGCTCTGACCCAGAGAGAGGAATGGGTGTCAATCCTGGGAAGAAGGGTGCAGCCCTGGGGCAAGGATGTGGGGAAAGTGGGAGGGGGGGCAGGAGCAAGGTATGCTAGCCTGAGGAAGTAGGCAGGGGTGCAGAACAGCAAAGGGCCTCAGGAGAGGAAGGCTCCTCTGACCTACCAGGACAGAGGGGACTGGACAGGGCAGTGAAGGCCACATGGGTAGGGAAGTGCTCTGTGAGCAGTGGACTAGAAGGGAGCTCCTCAAACTTGCTGAGGCACAGCAATTACCTGGAAAGCCCTAAACATACTGATGCCCACATCCCAGAGAGGCTGATTTAGTGGGTCTGGGCTGCGCCCAGGCATGGAGACTTTTTAACTGTCAGGTAATTCTGAGGACTTGGGCATGAGAGACCAGGCTGTGTGACAAGAAGGATCACAGTGGCAACTTGCCCAGCCCTATGCTTGGAGCAGGGGTTCTGGGCAGCCCTTCCCCAGGTCTGGGTGCCTGCTCACCATGGATGAGACCTGTGCCCTTGCACTAACTCTCTACGTCCTTGGTTGTCAGCTGATGTCCACACTTCATAAGGTCATTGAGAGGAGGAAAGGGAGCGATGCTCAGGAGGCACTGACATAGCTCAGTGCCAGGGGCCACCACTGCCATTGCCACTGGTGCAAATGGCTGAGAGGTGTGGCTCCTTATCACTATCTGGAACCCTGTAGCCACCTGAAGATTAGGGAACCCAGGCAAGAGAGGCCAGACAACCGTCTGAGGGTGCACAGCCTGTGGCACAGCAGTGCTAAGTCTCCTGCCTACAGTGGCCGGGTGCTTTTCACTTCCCCACCAAGGAAAGGTCCCCACTAGAAGGACCCAGATTTGCTCAGGTAGGGCCAATCTGCCATATCCCCACCATCAACGACATGTTCTATTTTCCAGAATGGCAAATCCGAGGCGAGGGGTGGTGAAGCAGGGCAAGGCAGGTATGGGAGGAAATGGAAGGAAACATGAAAATCAGACACAGAGATAATCCAGAGTGAGAGCTGAGTTATCTCAGATGAGCTGGGATTTGTGCAGAACTACAGGCAGCCCCCTCTGTCCTCTGCCTCAGGTGAGCAGTGCCAGCTTCAGGACTTCTGCTCAGCCAACCCCTGCATCAATGGAGGAGTGTGTCTGGCCACACACCCCCAGATCCAGTGCCTCTGCCCACCTGGCTTCGAGGGCCATGCCTGCGAACACGATATCAACGAGTGTTTCCTGGACCCGGGACCCTGCCCCAAGGGCACTTCCTGCCATAACACCCTGGGATCTTTCTGGTGTCACTGCCCTACTGGGCGGGAGGGTCCGCACTGTGAGCTTCAGCCAGGACCCTGCCCCCCTAGTGGCTGTCCCAATGGGGGCACCTGTCAGCTGGTTCCAGGGAGAGATTCCACTTTCCATCTCTGCCTCTGCCCCCAAGGTGTGTCCTCACCTGCAGCCTCTCTCTCTGGGTAGGGAGGTCCCCTTTCCTCAGCTAATCTCATGACCCCATCAGGTCTCACAGGCCTAGGCTGTGAGGTGAACCCAGATGACTGTGCTGGGCATGAGTGTCAGAATGGGGGCACTTGCCAGGATGGGCTGAGCACCTACACCTGCCGCTGCCCAGAGGCCTGGACAGGTGAGTCGTGCAAGCCAGGCCCATGGCACCTGCGGCCCAGATGGTCAGCCCCGGCCTCCCCTCCTCACAGGACTCCCAGCTCCAGCCTTTGTCCCCTTCCTACCCTGCCCCCCGCAGGTTGGGACTGCTCTGAAGATGTGGACGAATGTGAGACCCAGGGTCCCCTTCACTGCAGAAACGGGGGTACCTGCCAGAACTCGGCTGGCAGCTTCCATTGCGTGTGTGTGAGTGGCTGGGGAGGCACAGACTGTGAAGAGAACCTGGATGACTGTGCTGCTGCCACCTGTGCCCCAGGATCCACCTGCATTGACCGCGTGGGCTCCTTCTCCTGCCTCTGCCCACCTGGCCGCACAGGTGTGCCAGAGGGCATGGGAGTTGGCGGTAGAGACGGCGAGCGCGAGAGGCACCAGCAGGGCAGCTGGGAGCTCCAAGCAGCCCCGAGAGCCTCATGCCCACCCTGCCCTCCAGGACTCCTGTGCCACATGGAGGACATGTGCCTGAGCCAGCCATGCCACGGGGAAGCCCAGTGCAGCACCAACCCCCTGACAGGCTCCACACTCTGCCTTTGTCAACCTGGCTACTCAGGGCCCACCTGCCACCAGGACCTGGATGAGTGTCAGATGGGTGAGGCACCCCCGCATCAGATCCTCTCTGAGCCCCCCAAGCAGCCTCTGCAAATTGTCTTTCAAACAAAAAATATAACCATCTCTCTTCTGATTTTGTCCGGATCTGGCATCTCTTCCCTGCACGGTCTTCACAGCAATGCTCAGCCCTCCAGGTCCCAGTTAGTTCATCTCTGTCTTAAAGACACTGGCTCTTTCTCTGATTTGCTCTCCCCTGCCACACTCTGGCCCTCATGCCTTCCCTGGCAGTCTGACCTCTTTGCCCTTCCACTAGGGGCTCCTGTGGATTCCTGACTCTTCTCTCCTCCCAGCCCAGCAAGGCCCCAGTCCCTGTGAACACGGCGGCTCTTGCCTCAACACCCCTGGCTCCTTCAACTGCCTCTGTCCCCCTGGCTACACGGGCTCCCGCTGTGAGGCTGATCACAATGAGTGCCTGTCCCAGCCCTGCCACCCCGGAAGCACCTGCCTGGACCTACTCGCCACCTTCCACTGTCTCTGCCCACCAGGTACCAGATGCAGTGGGCCTTGGGTAGAGGACACAGGGCACTAATCCTGAACCCACGAGACATGACCCCTGCAGAACACAAACAGCCCCAGACTAGTTGGGGTCAGTTACCAAAGAATGCTTCTCATCTCCCTGCCCCAGATAAAATCTCCGGGAAACCTATGGTTCCTAGGAGAAGGGCTGCCACAGATGATAATGAGCTTGTGCACTGCTCAAGTCTGGGGGTGAGGGGGAAGCATTCATTTCATGGTCATGTAAAGTGCACAGCCTGGTCCGCTGTAGACAGAAGCTGGTCGAGAAAGGGCAGCATGGCAGCAGCTTCTGCTCATGCCAACTCAGAATGTCCCTCCTAATCAGAGGAACTCTCCCCTGTAGTAATTGAGTAGACCCTTAAAATCCCAAAGACTATATGCTTCAATTTGGTGCAAGAGGAAAAATAAATGCCACAAGGCTGCACCTACCTCCAAGCTAGTTTTTGTTTTGTTTTGTTTTGTTTTTTAAAGAATTTATTTATGGGCAGCCTGGGTGGCTCAGCAGTTTAGCGCCGCCTTCAGCCCAGAGCATGATCCTGGAGACCCAGGATCAAGTCCCGCATCGGGTTCCCTGCATGGAGCCTGCTTCTTCCTCTGCCTGTGTCTCTTCCTCTCTCTATGGCTCTCTGTGTGTCTCTCAAGAATAAATAAATGAGCCTGGGTGGTTTAGCACCGCCTTCAGCCCAGAGCATTATAGAATCCTGGAATTAGGAACTATATACAATTTATTCTTTTTAATTTTACTCATTCATGAGAGACACACAGAGAGAGAAGCAGAGACATAGGCAGAAGCAGAAGCAGGCTCCATGCAGGGAGCCCGATGTGGGGACTCAATCTCGGGGCTCCAGGATCACGCCCTGGGTCAAAGGCAGACGCTCAACCGCTGAGCCTCTCAGGTGTCCCTCCAAGCTGGTTCTAAGAGGGGAAAAGTTCTCCCCAGGGACACAGAGACAGAGCCAATATCAGGAAGCTGAATGAAACCAGAAAAATACTAGCTTACTTAGTGCCAGGTACCACCTAAGCATCTTCCATGCATTTTGTCATCTCTGCAACAATCCTATGAGGTCAGCATTTTAGCTGTGCCCATTTTACAAATGAAGAAACTGAGGCACAGGGAGATTAAGTGAGCTGTCCAGCTAGTAAGCAACGTGGCAAGGATTCAAGCCCAGGGCTTCCATAGATTTAGCCACTACACAAAACAGCCTTCCTCAATTGAGCAGCATCCAGAATAAAAAGTGGAGAAAACTGCCGAGCAATCCAAGGGCCAGGGATAGTTACCAAGATGTCCCAGGCAAGAAGCGGGAGGCAGCTGAGGTCTAGAGGCCGAGCCAGTTTCGGGTCAGGGTGAGAATGATACCAGGACAAGCCCAAAGATGCAGGACAGATCTGGGACCAACCAGCTTCCCAAATGCCTGCTCAGGAAGAACAAGGGGCTTGGCTCCCCTTCGAGCAGATACCCATTTGTCTCATTTGTGCCATGAGGACTTCCAGGCTCATTAGCCCCACCGGATGAGCCCACCTTCTGTGCAGCGAACGGCCCCAAAAGTTACCTCCTTGCAGCTCCCACAGGCCCCAGCAGGTGCTGTGCTCCCTGAGCCTTTATATCTGAAGAAGGCAGAGCCTCACACAGCAGGGTAGCAGGACTGCAGGCTCATCTCCCCAGCCCGCAGTCAGAGAGCACCCTGGGAGGGGCTGCCTGACGGGGGCACATGCTGGTTCTAGAACCCAGGCCTCCTAGGCAGAATGGGTGAGCGGCCCAGTCAGGCCAACCCAGCTGAGCCTCAGCCCACACCACACCTCCATGTCCTCAGGCCTAGAAGGGCAGTTCTGTGAGGTGGAGACTGACGAGTGTGCCTCTGCTCCGTGCCTGAACCAGGCTGACTGCCACGATGGGCTCAACAGCTTCCTCTGTGTCTGCCTGCCCGGTGAGTGCATATTTACCTAAACCACCCTTTCTGGCCCTCCTCCAGAGTCCTCAGTAGGCTCTCCCTGTTCCTAGGGATCCTGGGCTGGTCTTGGCACTGGTCACCCTGGATGCAGCAAACACTGCCCCAGGCCTTCCTTCTCAGCTTCATCGGATCCCTCTGTTCCCTGCTATGATGATAATGGATGTTCCTTGATTATTTACTCCATTACTATTTACACTTGGTTGTGTACTTTTCAGGCATTCCCTCGTTTAAACCTTTCAATGACACCATAAGATAGGTTGCATTATTCCCCTTTTACAGAGGAGGGAACTGGAGCCTAGAGAGCTTGAGTAGCTTGCTCAAAGTCACACAGCTGGCAGGTGGCTGAGCATCATCCTGCTGGCATCTCCAAGTGTCTGCTCTGGGAAGCCTTCCAGGTTCACTCTGTTGAGGGGAAGGGCCAGGACTTGCATTTATGCTTTTGATACAATGTATTTTCAGCATTGACACAAATATCCAGTTATTCTTTATTTATGTGAAGAACAAAGCCACCAAGTTATGCTCTGTTAATGTACTAAAACCCAAATCACTACTTGAGAAGCCCCCAATTGGTGCCTTCACTATATAATGAAACATGTAGACGAACCCCCAAACCAAGCCATTGGAAACAAGATTCTCTCCATTGCAATTTGTAGCAATGTTATTTCTGTATATGTAAATGGAAGGCTAAAGATCAGTATTGACTCTAAATTTCTTGTTTGAATCCATGAAATCATACCTATATAGCTCAGTCACAACTATTTGTAACTCCCTATTAACTCTAGAGAAAGTCGGAAGGAAGGAAGGAAGGAAGGAAGGAAGGAAGGAAGGAAGGAAGCAAGGAAGGAAGGAAAGAAGGAAGGAGGGAGGGAGGGAGGGAGGGAGGGAGGGAGGGAGGGAAGGAAGGAAGGAAGGAAGGAAGGAAGGAAGGAAGGAAGGAAGGAAGGAAGGAAGGAAGGAAAGGAAAGAGAGAGAGAGAGAACTTTGCAATCTCTCCCGACTTGCTCCCTGCCCCACCAGGATTCACAGGCTCCCAGTGTGAGGAAGACATCAATGAGTGTGCAAGCTCTCCCTGTGCCAATGGGGGTCAGTGCCAGGACCAGCCTGGATCTTTCCATTGCGAGTGTCTCCCAGGTAAACCAGAGCTCACACACTGGAGGGGAGAGTGGGGGCAAAGGGCAGACCTGCATGCAGCCCTCTGACCATCCTGCTGCGCCATAGGCTTTGAAGGCCCACACTGTCAGGCAGAGGTGGACGAGTGCCTGAGTGGCCCCTGCCCCACTGGAGCCAGCTGCCTGGATCTCCCCGGAGCCTTCTCTTGCCTCTGCCCCTCTGGCTTCACAGGTCAGCAGGGGAGGCGTTAGAAAGGACTGGCAGGATAGTTGAGCCCATTTGGGGTGGAGCAGAGGCTATTGCTGGGCATTTGAGAGTTGGGATGTGAGAAGAAAATGAGACTGGAACTCCTCCGAGTTATGCAACCTGAGTGCTGACAGCAGGTGTCATTGGTAGAACCCAAACTGGGCCAAACAGGGGAATGGTGTGATCAGGGTTCAGAAACAGGAAGCCATCTGTGCACTTACTTAGCAAGAACGTATTAAGTCTCCTATGCCCCACACAGATATAAGCAGAGTAAGAAAGCTGCTCTCAACTGGCTTTAAATACAGTGCAGAGAGACCAAGAAGTCTCTTGTGGGCAATGGCCCAGACGTGCTCTGAGAGAGGATTTAGGATACAAAAGGAGCACAAAGGACCAGCCAACCAGACTAGAGATGAGAAAGCTTCACGGAGGAGGTGATGGCTAAGCTGAGTCTTCAAGAATGGGTAGGAGTTTGTCAAAATAGAATGATTGCATGTTTTAGCTGCAAGTAACTGATGCACAAAGGTGTGGACGGAAGAAAAGCACATCCCCATTTAAGAACCACAGAACGTCCTCAGTTTAGGGTGCAACAGAGTGAAACTGAGGAGCACAGCAGTTGTAGGAAAATCATGTCATGCAGGGCCCTGTGTGTCATTCTGAGGAAGTTAGCCTGAGGGAGCAGGGAACCACTGAAGCACAGGTTCATGGGGAGTAAGCAAGTCATATGTAAGAAGTGGCTTTGGTCCCATTGAGGATATGGAGGGACTCTGTTTTCTCTTTGACCCATCTCCCCACCCCAGGTCATCTCTGTGAGGTTCCCCTGTGTGCTCCCAGCCTGTGCCAACCCAAGCCAAAATGCCAGGACAAGGCCCACTGCCTCTGCCCTGATGGAAGCCCTGGGTGTGCCCCCATTGAGGACAACTGCACCTGCCACCATGGACATTGCCAGAGGTAACCTTCCAGCCCCTCCTCATTTTTACTATCCTGTGGGTCCTCCTCAGTTAGGGCAGGAGAAGACAGACAGTGAGGGGCAAGCTGGTGGGAAATGACCAAGAGGGAAGAGGAAGGAGAAGGCAAAGTGCTGAGGTCACAGCCAACATGAAGGCGCAACTAGTGAGTGCTATCCCATGGAGGAGGGAGTTCATAAATCACGGGAGAAACAGAGGGGTAGGCGGTGAGAGCAGAAAGAAAAGCACTAAATCCCAGGGTCAACTCAACATCCATTGGACAAACACTGGGCACCTGCTATGTGTGGATACTTTTCAAGGCACTGGGGGAACCACACATAACAAGAGACAACATGTCTGTTCTCATGGAGCTTTCATTCTAATGAGGAAAGACAGACAATAAACAAGTTATAAGAGAGACATATGTACATGTTCACATGTATAGTATGGAAGGGGGACAATGCTGAGTGCAGAGCCAATGAAGAAAGGAGCCAGAGTCTCAGGGCTAAAAACAAGAGGTCTTAGGGAGCTGACCAATGGGGAGGGGATAGAGAAAAACACTAGGAGAAAAACTCTCCCCTTTCTCTTTATGACCAGATCCTCATGTGTGTGTGATGTGGGCTGGACAGGACCAGCATGTGAAGCAGAGCTGGGAGGCTGCATCTCCGTGCCCTGTGCCCATGGGGGGACCTGCCATCCCCAGCCCTCTGGCTACAACTGCACCTGCCCCCCAGGCCACACAGGTGAGGCCCTCCCTAAACCACAGGCATTCTGGGCTGGCTACTCTCTAACCAAGAGCAGTAAAGACATGTGTCCAAGGACTCTGGGTCTTGGTCACCACCAAGGAGAATGGAACAGAGACTGCAGGGAATGCAGGTGATGTGCAGGAGGTGGTGAGAAAAGAGGTTGGATGGGAGAGAACAGGGATGGGGATGAGGAAAAGGAAGGAGAGGGAGGTAGAAAAAGACAAGAGAGAAGAGGGTTCCCTTTCTCAGAACCTCCTCATTTCCTACAGGCCCTACCTGCAGCGAGGAGGTGACAGCTTGTCACTCAGGGCCCTGTCTCAACGGTGGCTCCTGTAGCCCCAGCCCTAGGGGCTATTCCTGCACCTGCCCTCCAAGCCACACTGGGCCCCGCTGTCAGACCAGCACTGACCACTGTGCCTCTGGTGAGTGCCTGCCGAGTCCTTCAGCTGGGCCACAGGGGACAGAGAAATTGGTCAGGGTGTGTCTATGCTATAAGAAAAACTTAATTGAGCACCATTATGGGATGCTCTTTTGATGTGGCCAGCAGGGAGGGCATGTACGTCCTGTGTGTGGTGTGACTGAGGTCACAGGCCAGGTTATGGGCAAGGAACCCAACCCCTCACAGCCTCCTCTCTCCAGCCCCGTGCCTCAATGGGGGTACCTGTGTGAACAGGCCTGGCACCTCCTCCTGCCTCTGTGCTGCGGGCTTCCAGGGCCCCCACTGTGAGGAAAGGACCCGTCCCAGCTGCGCAGATAAGTGAGCAAAGACCCCTAGAGGAAGAGAGGGCACCCTTGGCCTCCCCACTCTGCCTCTCCATCTCCTCTGGAGAGGCTACCTCACATTCCATACCCCACATCCTTTCACGCTGCCTCCCTTCCTGGCTCCCCATCTCACCATCACGTCACATTCCCTCCCCTTTGATGGCCTGGACTTCCTCCCACTGTGCCCTGTGTCTGTCCTGTTCCAGCCCCTGTAGGAACAGGGCAACCTGCCAAGATGGTCCTCAGGGTCCCCACTGTCTCTGCTCCCCTGGCTACACGGGAGGCAGCTGCCAGGTGAGGAGGGGCGCTGAGCCAAGTGTGCTGAGGAGGGTGGTGGCTGGAGGGCTCTAGTGGAGGGTCTCTAGGACTAGAAGACAGAACTGGGAGCTTGGAAGATGTACCCACGTGAAAGGGGGTTTGGGAGTGGAGGTCCAGCTTGAGGTTTGCAAGGAATAGGAGGAACAAAAGAATCTCTGATCCCAGAGACTGTTCTGGGATGTGGGCATCAAAGAAAACCAGGGCGGGGTAGGGGTGCTATCACCTGGCCCCAGACCATTCAGGAGAGAGTTTGAGAGCTTAGGATTTTGAGAAGCTGGTAGAAGACCATCTCTGGGCCTAAAAACATAATATTCAGCTCTGTCTCATGCTCCTTCCCAAACCTCAGACTCTGATGGATTTATGTGCCCAGAAGCCCTGTCCACACAATTCCTACTGCCTCCAGACTGGGCCCTCCTTCCAGTGCCTGTGCCTCCAAGGATGGACTGGGCCTCTCTGCAACCTTCCACTGTCCTCCTGTCAGAAGGCTGCTCTGAGCCAAGGTACTAACCCAAGGACCAAGTGGGGAGCAAACAAAGAGAGAAGGGTGTCCCCCTCTACCTGAGCCCTAAAGGCATCCACACACAACACTTGGCCAAAACAACCAACTAAGACTCAAAGTAACACAGAACAAACACTATTAGTGATTCTACAGCTCAACCCTCAGGGCAGCCTAACACAACTCAACACAACTCAAGCAACACCAACCAGTCTAGCCAATAAGACTCCAGTTGAAACAACCACAGGGACACAACTCAATGAGAAGCAACTGAACTGTCACTATCATCATAACTCAACCAGAGTGGATCATACTTAACCCAATGGCACTCAACTCAACAGCTGCTCCCCACTCACGCTGATGTTATGTCAACTCCCCTTGTGAAAGAATACCTCCCTCAACCAAATGAGGCTGACCATGAGCAGAACTCAGGAAGGAGCCTCCTGTGGGGTGAGGGAATGGGATTCATAGCAAGAGAACATCAGAGGATGCAAATTCAGGGGACAGACCCAAGTCATTAGTTAAACCTCCACCTAAAGTTTCCTTTGAGTTCCTTCTTGCTTGAGACTTGTTTTAAACCAAGGATATGGGTGCTTATGATGATCTAATAAGCTTAACAAGAGATCATCTCTCTCCATTCTGGCAGAACAAGCAGGAGGGGGATCTTGATATTATAACTTCTTTAGCACCAGGAGTTACTGAGTCCTCAGGCTTCAAGTAGCCTCCACCCACCCCAAGAATGTTCGTGATCTCCAAGAGCCTCTCTGCTCAGGGTCTGGGGCCCCTGAGAACCTTTCCACTCGACTTAGCCTTTTCCATCCCTCTTTGCCTTTCTCCTCAGGCACAGCAGCTTCTTCCCTGTGCCAGAACGGAGGCCTCTGCATTGACAGTGGCTCCTCCTATTTCTGCCACTGCCCTCCTGGATTCCAAGGCAGTACCTGCCAGGACAGGGTAAACCCATGTGAGTCCAGACCCTGCCAACACGGGGCCACCTGCATAGCCCAGCCCAATGGGTATCTCTGCCAGGTAAGCAGGTCTTGAGAAGAACAACAGGGAGGGGTGACCGGGGGGACCAGCTGTGGGAAAAGTACCTGGGCAGGGCAGTGATATAGTCATCTCCTTTCCTTTCTTTACCCCACACATCCAACCCACCACCAGCTCATGCCCTTTGCCTCCTAAATCTTTCACCACTCTGTCTTTCCTCCTTCACCCTTTGTCCCACTGCTCCATCCGGCTTTGTTGCATACCACCTGGGCACCCTGAGGATTACCTCAGTAATCCTTCACCCTAAGGATTACTGTCCCCAGCTCCATATTTGTCGGCCTGTAGGCTCAGCCTTTACTCTATTACCAGGGTGCTCTGTTGAAAATTTTAAGTTGACCTGTCACTCCCTTCGGTGGCTGCCCACCTCTCTGACCCTGAAGTTCAAAACCCACATGACCCAGCCTTGCCCGCCTCTCAGGTCTCATCTCGTCCCGCCCCCACCCTCCTTCTCTCTGCTCCAGCTGCTACTGGCTTCCCTACACACCCCATCTACTGGCTCTTCCAGCCCTTCCCCATACCTCTTCCAATGGATGGTGCCCAAGAGGTGCCTTCCTCAGGAGAATGTCCCTAGCTTCTCTCCAGACTGGGTTTGGGCTTCTCTTTGGTGGTTCTGGTCACTGAGCAGCAGAGGCAAAGCTAGGATTCAAGTCTGAGTAGCCTGATGCCTATACTTAGGACCCCAACTTTGGGGTTAAGCATCTGACTCTTGATTTCAGCTCCAGTCATGATCCAAGGGTCATGAGATGGAGCCCTGAGCCAGGCTCCGGGCTGGGCTTGAAGCCTGCTTGGGATCCTCTCTCTCCCTCTCCCACTGTGTCTCCCCCATAACCTCTATCTCAAAAAAAAAAAAGAAAAAAAGAAAAGAAAAAGAAAAAGAACCCTGACTCTGGATTAAAAAAGCCTGATGCAGATCCCCTAAGCATTCTCTCTAACTTTTCAATTTTATTTTTTAACTTTTTATCATGAGCATTTTCAAACATACACAAAAGAAGGGTACTAATTAGTAGTAAACACCCCTGTACCCAATACTCAGCTTTACCTCCCCTTTCCTGAGACTCCTTCCCTCAGACATCCCCAAAACACCCCGCTCGCCTGCTTTTCCCAACCCTTTGGCCACTCCTTGGATTCTCCATAATTCCCTTTCTCTTCACTTTTCTGAAGCTTTCCTAGTAGTGTGTCTTACACACTCTCTTTGCTCTTGCAAGAACTCAGCACATGGTACAGACCTCATCAATGACCCTCCCCCCTGGCAGAGTGGTATAAAACAAACCCAGAAGGCTTCAGGGTACTGGTTAGGAAGTCACAGACTCGCGCTGCATCCCAGCTCTGCCACCGACCAGACTTGTGCAAGTCACTCAGTCTCTCCAGGAATCAGTCAACTTTTCTATAAAGTGAGAATCAAATGAGATAAGACACATGCAGGGTTTGGGGGAGAGTTTCATGAGGTTGTGTATGAGAATCATATAATACATGGTCTCTTGCCTCTAGTTGACTGAGAACTTCATGGAAGCAGGGAGGAGTTCTAAATTTCTTCATATCCTTAGTGCCTACAACAGAGCCTGGCACAAAGCAGGCATTCAATAAATGCTTACAAATTAATCAGTAAAGCCTGAAAGAACCTGGCGGAGGTGTGGCTAGGGGAGGGAGGTCTTACCAAAAATTACCTCAGTGGCAATGTGTCATAGGATGCTTTGGGGCTGCTGGAGGGGTTAAGTTGCATGCTACTGAATGTGTATCATGGAGTTGAGATGGAAGGGTTAGCTACACAGGGCTGTGACAGATGGTGAGTTGAATGATGTTTTGAACTGGAAGGTGGGGAGGGGACAGGGCAAAGGATCTTGAGCTAGGTCCCCCGTAGTGTTGGGACGGCCCAAATGACTAGTTCCCTGTCTGACCCTCTTTGCCGGCAGTGTGCCCCAGGCTACAATGGACAGAACTGCTCAAAGGAATCCAATGCTTGTCAGTCCCAGCCCTGTCACAACCATGGGACCTGTACCCCCATACCTGGAGGCTACTATTGCACCTGCCCTCCAGGCTTTGTGGGGCTGCGCTGTGAGGGAGACGTAGATGAGTGTCTGGACCGGCCCTGCCATCCCACAGGCACTGCAGCCTGCCATTCTCTGGCCAATGCCTTCTACTGCCAGTGTCTGCCTGGATACACAGGTGAGGCCTGGGAGGGTGTGCACAGGCACCTCTGTGGCACACCTGAGCTCACAATCCCCACCTAGTCATTGTGTCCATCCCCCTGCCTCTAAACCCCACCCCAGAGAACATGCCCCAGGATCCCTCTACCTGTGCAGGTTAATGCTGGGTCAACTCCCAGGAATGAGCTAGGAAAGAAGCATTGACCAAAGCAGTGTGTGAGGTCTAATCCCACCCCACCACAGGCCAGTGGTGTGAAGTGGAGACAGACCCCTGCCAGAGCCAGCCCTGCTCCCATGGAGGGTCTTGTGAGACCACAGCAGGACCACCCCTGGGTTTCACCTGCCACTGCCCCCAGGTGAGTGTCTACAAAGCTGTCTTCTCTTTTGCCCCTAACACTGATGCCAGGTGAGAATGCCTGAGCTGGGATCCTAGAGGTGAGCCCAGGGAGCACTGGAGTGGGAATTACCCGTGAAAGCTAGCCCCTGTTCATGGTGGTAAGCGACTCTTCAGATGCAGTTCAGGGGGAAAGGCAGGATCAAGTGGTAGCATGAATGGAATTTTCAGAAATCATAAGCACTGCCTAAGGAAAGGCCCCAAAGTCAGGCTGGGTGACCATGAATAAGGTCTTTCACCTCTGTGTGTATGTGTGTGTTTATGGACCTCAGATGCGTGACACTAACATCATTGGTTTGTTCATGTCCTTCTTCATATTATCCTTACAACATAACACCTATAAACCTAACCTAATTACAACAGGAACAGTAACTCATGTGTACTTCTGTGTTCCTCCATCCTGTTCTACTTCCAGAGGGAGAAAACGTATATAACACTGTGTCCAAGGATGAAGAGAATCTCAGTTTAATTACTACTGCTCTGTAAGGGCTCAGTCTCCCAAGTTGTTGCACACAGCTATGGCTCATCCATTTTCACCACTGTGTAGTATGTCCTTGTGTGAAAATACTACAGACCATGGTTTCAACATCTATAAAGTGATGAATCTGATGCTCTCTGAGGCCCCTTCCAGATATGAGACTCTAGGACCCTCTGAATTATCTTAACCCTTTGCATGGGCGAGACGGGGGATGAAGAATACAAGGAGCTTCCCCAACATCTCTCTCCTCTCCACAGGGTTTTGAGGGCCCCACCTGCAGCCACAGAGCCCCCTCCTGTGGCTTCCATCACTGCCACCATGGTGGCCTGTGTCTGCCCTCCCCTAAACCTGGCTTCCCACCCCGCTGCGCCTGCCTCGATGGCTACGGGGGTCCTGACTGCCTGAACCCACCGGCTCCTCATGGCTGTGGCCCTCCTTCTCCATGCCTACACAATGGCAGTTGCTCAGAGATCCCTGGGCTGGGGCCCCCAGGCTTCCGATGTTCCTGCCCTCCCAGCTCTCCAGGGCCCCAGTGCCAGAAGCCCGGAGCAAGGGGATGTGAGGGCAGAGGTGGAGATGGGGCCTGTGACGCTGGCTGCAGCGGCCCTGGAGGAAACTGGGATGGGGGAGACTGCTCCCTGGGGGTCCCGGACCCCTGGAAAGGCTGCCCCTCCCACTCCCGATGCTGGCTCCTCTTCCGGGATGGGCAGTGCCACCCACAGTGTGACTCTGCAGAGTGTTTGTTTGATGGCTATGACTGTGAGACTCCTCCAGCCTGCACGTGAGCCTGAAACCCTGACTTGGGGTTGGGGGTGGGTGGAGGGCAGGGGGAGGCAGGGGGAAGAACACAGATGCCTCTGGGTCTCAGTGTGAACACAGCCTCAAGCCCTGGGGAGTTTCCACGCAAATAACCGTTGCTCAATAGGGTTATAAGACACTAGGGTCCAGCCCTGGGGAATAGGGCAGCATCAATATTTAACATGGGGACCAGGAAGAAGGGCATTGCCTCTGTCCGAGCTCCTCCCTAAAGGTTGTGGGAGCTCTGAGCTCAAGCCTCTCTCTCTAAGCCCAGGTGCCATGGAGCATCTCCCCTAGCAAACAGCACCCCTGAGGGAGAAGGGTCTTGGTCTCTCCTTCAGGGAGATAAGAAAGCTTGGGAGGGCAGGGAGAGGCTACAGTCTTCGGAGACAAAGGTGTCACAGACATTAGAGTGACTAGACTATCTGCCACCCAGGGCCTGCCTAGGCCCATTGCTCGAGAGCTTTCCCCGTTTAGCAACCAGTGCCCTAGAGGCAGTGTAATATCAGGCAGCTCTCTGCAATGAGGAAGGGAGTCAGGTTCCTTTGGGGATTCTGAATCCCCCTCTCCTCACCCCACAGTCCAGCCTATGACCAGTACTGCCACGATCACTTCCACAATGGACACTGCGAGAAAGGCTGCAACACCGCGGAATGTGGCTGGGATGGGGGTGACTGCAGGCCTAAAGATGGGGGTTCGGAATGGGGGCCCTCCCTGGCCCTGCTGGTGGTCCTGAGCCCCCCAGCCCTGGACCAGCAGCTGCTTGCCCTGGCCCGGGTGCTATCCCTGACTCTGAGAGTGGGGCTCTGGGTAAGGAAGGATAGTGATGGCAAAGACATGGTGTATCCCTATCCTGGGGCCCAGGCCGAAGAGGAGCTGGGAGGAACCCCGGACCCTTCACATCAGGAGAGAGTAACTCCTCAAACACAGCCTGTAGGCAAAGAGACAGACTCTCTCAGCACTGGGTAAGGAGGCCGGGCAGAGGGATGGGGCGGACATTAGTTTTTTTAACGGGTGGAAGGAAGGGAGCCAGGGACCAACACAGGGGTCTCTGAGGCACCTCCCCCACAGGTTTGTGGTGGTGATGGGTGTGGATTTGTCCCGCTGTGGCCCTGACCACCCTGCATCCCGCTGTCCCTGGGATCCTGGGCTCCTGCTCCGCTTCCTTGCCGCAATGGCTGCGGTGGGAACCCTGGAGCACCTGCTGCCAGGACCCCTGCTGGCTGCCCATCCTCGTGCTGGCACGGGTAGGTGACCCCCACACACACTTCCCCTTACTTTGCTCCCAGGCCGACTTTCATGGCAGAACCAGCAATGGAGGCCAAATGACACAGGACTGTAGGGACCCCAAAAATTCTGTGTGGAGACTGACCCCCGGAACCTCTCATTCTTCCAATTGTATCTCCTCGTGGCCCAGCTGCTCTTCAATATCCTTCCTTATTTCCCTAAATACTTAACCTTTATCATCTGGTCTATCCTCTACTAAATCCAATCATCCCTCCATCAAACCGCTCACAGTACATAGAAGAATCCTAACCCATTTAGCACATACTACATGCCAGGCTTTGCTCTAATTATCAACTCATTTAATCCTCCTGACAATGCCATGAGGTAGGTACCATTATTATTACCACCTTACAGATGAGGACACTGATGAAAGAAGTCACTGCACTTGCCCAAAGGTCTCACAGTAGTACCCAGCCTCCCCAGAAATGGTCTCTCTTTTGTGACTATGTCTCTCCCACCAGTACCACCCACCAACCAGCTTCCCTGGCCTTTGCTGTGCTCACCAGTGGCCGGGGTGATTCTCCTGGCCCTTGGGGCTCTTCTGGTCCTTCAACTCATCCGGAGGCGGCGCAGAGAGCATGGGGCCCTCTGGCTGCCCCCGGGGTTCATTCGAAGGCCTCGAACGCAGCCAGGTCCCCGCAGACGCCGGCCTCCCCTGGGTGAAGACAGCATCCGCCTCAAGTAAGAGTGAGGAGGAAAGGGGCTCAGGGAGGGGACTCTTTCCTGTGGAGATATTTATCATCAGAAGTTGATGGCAGAGGAAGGAGACAGAGGAAGGCAGGCTGCTGGAAATCCTGGGGACCCTGAAGGTCCTCTACCCAAACACCCTCTTCCAGAGCCCTGAAGCCAGAGGCAGAAGTTGATGAGGATGGAGTGGTGATGTGCTCAGGCCCTGAGGAAGGAGAGGAGGTGAGCCTGCTGAAAACACTGGGGCAGAAATGATCCTGAGGTGACGGCAGAGTTGAAGGGACAAGTCACCTTCCTTCACTGATCCTTGTTCTGATCCCTAAGGCTGAAGAAATGGCCTCACCCTCCAAGTGCCAGCTCTGGCCTCTGAGCAGTGACTGTCAGGAGCTCCCCCAGGCAGCCATGCTGACTCCTCCCCAGGAATCAGAGATGGATGTCCCTGAGGTGGACACCCGTGGACCTGGTATGTGAGCCAACCCAGACCAAGCAAAGGAAAGCTCCCTTTGACTCTTTTAGAATCAGAAAGCCTTTTGATATTAGAACTGAGAAAACCAAAATTAGGGTTACTGCCTTAGAATAGTGACACTCAAAGTGTGGTCCCAGGACAGACGAATGAGCATCACCAGGGAAATTGTTAGAAATATAAATTCTCAGGCTCCACTCCAGAGCTACCGGCTCAGAAATCTGAGATACTGGGGAATTCATGTTTTCACCAGCTCCCCAGGTAAGTCTGATACAGACTCAAGGATGGGAACCACTGCCTTGGAATGTTAAAGAATTAAGGCCTACTGGTCCTTTTACAGACAAGGAAACCGAAGCACAAAGTAAAAAAAGTCATTTGACTTAAGCGACACAAAAGCAAGAGCCAGAGCTGGGCTTCCTGACACCTGGGGCTGATACTCCCTGAGCCTCCATGTTCTCCTCCTTCCCCAGTTATGTCCTTTTTGATTGACTTGTCTCCCAAATCTCATGTCTCCCACCCACAGATGGGGTGACACCCCTGATGTCAGCAGTTTGCTGTGGAGGAGTGGAGTCCAGGACCTTCCAGGGGGCATGGTTGGGAAGCCCTGAGCCCTGGGAACCTCTGTTGGGTGGAGGGGCCTGTCCCCAGGCTCACACTGTGGGCACTGGGGAGACCCCCCTGCACCTGGCTGCCCGATTCTGCCGGCCAACCGCTGCCCGCCGCCTCCTTGAGGCTGGAGCCAACCCCAACCAGCCAGACAGAGCAGGGCGCACCCCTCTTCACACCGCCGTGGCTGCTGATGCTCAGGAGGTTTGCCAGGTCAGTGCACCCTGGGGCCGCTACAGGGAAACTGGTACGGAAAGCTGAGCAAAAGCATCCCCTAGGGTTTGTCAGAGAGGAAGAGGATGTGAGATTGGGCATCTGAGAGAGAAACAACAGATGGCTGAATATGGGTTTGGAGTGGCGGGCCTGAGCTAGCAGTCCAGGACATGCCAGAATCACTGGCCCTCTCTGGACCCCCAGCTCCTACTCCGCAGCAGACAGACTGCGGTGGATGCGCGGACAGAGGACGGGACCACAGCCCTGATGCTGGCCGCCAGGCTGGCGGTGGAGGACCTGGTTGAAGAACTGATTGCAGCGCAAGCAGATGTGGGGGCCAGAGATAAATGGGGTACGGATCTGCAGACGGTGGTGTTGTGCTATGGAAAAGTGGCACAGGTGGGGTGTAAGATGCACAAACGGAAGCCCCCGAGGGACCGACTGGAGACTGGGGGCTTCCCGGTCACCTAGCTTCTGGGTGTAAACCGGCGGTGCCGTGTCGGGAGGGGCCCCTTCGCCTACCTCCTCGCCTTAGGCCGAGGAAGGAGCGTCCGTGGGGGGAGGGGTCTGGCGGGGAGGTCTCCGGCCCTGCCCAGCCCAGAACAATGTCCCATTGTCCCTCCCGCGCGCTGGGGACGTCACTAGGCTTCCTGCGGCCGGCGGTCACCCGGGCAACGCTTCCGCCTTTGAGGCCGCCCCGCGGCCCAAAACCGGAGTCCGTGGGAAACAGACACGCAGGCGTCTGGTCCCCGGGCTCGGGCTGACAGTCCCCACGTCGTCCCCCAGGAAAAACCGCGCTGCACTGGGCCGCCGCCGTCAACAACGCCCGGGCCGCCCGCTGCCTCCTGCAGGCCGGAGCCGACAAGGACGCCCAGGACGGCAGGGTCAGACCGGGACGGGGTCCCCACTAAGACGACAAAACAGGGCGAGGGGGCGCGGGGAGCCCGGGCGCGCCGGCGCGGTGGGTGTGCCCTCGGCCCGCCCCTGGCCTCGCCCCTGACCGCCCCGCCCCCCGCCGTTCCTGCGCCGCAGGGGCAGACGCCGCTGTTCCTGGCCGCCCGGGAAGGCGCCGTGGAGGCCGCCCAGCTGCTGCTGGCGCGGGGAGCGGCCCGAGGACTGAGGGACCAGGCGGGGCTCACGCCCGCGGACGTCGCCCGTCAGCGCAACCACGGGGACCTGCTGGCGCTGCTGGAGGGGGCGGGGCCGCTGGAGGCGCGGGCCCGCGGGGTCGGCCCCGCCCCCCGCCCCCGCCCCCGCCCCCGCCCCCGGGCCGCGTCGGGAAGCTCGCCCCCGCGCGCGGGCGGGGCTGTGCCGCGCGGCCGGACGCTGTCCGCGGGGGCGGGCCCGCGAGGGGGCCACACCCCGTCCGCCGCCTGGGCCGCCCCTGGGGGCGGGGCCTCCTCTCACGGCCGGCGCCCGTCGAGGGGAGGGGCGGCGGGCGGCGCGTCTCCCGGGGCCCGTAGGCTTCCTGCAGGCATGCGCGGGCCTCGGCCCCTCACCGGGGTCGCGCGAGGAAGATCCGGGGTCACGGCCGGGGGCGGGGGTGTGGCCTCGGCTGACGACTGGCCCTGCCATTGGGTGACCCTGGGAGCCTGCGGCCCCACCTCCAACGCCGCCTCGCCGCTCCCGCCTCCTTGCCTCACTCCGTCCCCAGAGCGGGGATCCCCTCGAGTTGCTTGGGGACCCCCAACCCACGAAGTAATACCTTTAAACACGGGAGGCGAGGGTCAAAAATAGGACACTACAAGACAGGGATTCTAAAAGTGAACATCCATGATAGGACACACAGTCTGGAAGGACTCCAGATTTCTAAGACCCTGGAACCCCAAAAGTGAAGGGCCCTATGATCTCCCTCCCCAAATGAGTGTATGCCCACTCATTCTCTTCCACACGGAAAAGGTATAGCCCTGGAAAAAGGGCTTAGGGTGCTGAATGAAGAGGGCCCAGCCTTCTCCCAGAAAATAAGGGTGAGGGGCTACCGAAGGGTGGAGTGGGATTGGGGAATTACCTCTGAACTGGAACCAATAACTCCAGACATATAAGATGTAAGACAGTCTTTCCTGTATATGGTACCCAAAGGAAGTCTCTATTACCCATTACCCCCAGCACCCACAAATGGCTAACAAATATTTATTGATGCCCACTGTATGCCAGGCACTGTGTAGGTGCTGAAGTGGGGGGCCAAAGGCCACTCCAGCTGATGACTCCTTGCACTCTCTCCACCTCCCTCTTCAACAAACCATCACAGGGATGAAGCACCACTCTTATCATCACCTCTATCACTATTTAAAAACCTCAGATCTGTCACCCCATAATAAAGCTTATCTGAAATGTTAACTTTTTTTTTTTTTTTAAGAGTGGAATGGGAAAAAATATGGGAATGACTACATAGTGTTTTCAGAATTTTGCGCCTTAAGATCAATGTCATCCCTTTGGATGGAGGTTTTAAGTACAGTTTCAAGAGCAAGAATAAGTAGAGTTGAGGGTACTGTGTTAATTTGGGGTATCATCTGAAAGCAAGAGTCTGGTAGCCCAGGGAGAAACCACACACACACACACACACACACACACACACACACCCCTTCCTCCTCTTCCAAGGGCATTTAATTATTCCTCAGGCCTCAAGATGAAGATGCAGAGAGCATCTCAAACATTATCCACCTTTCAGATACATGGTTACACCTCTTTAATGGTGATAGGCCTGAGACATGGAGGCATGAGGCATTTTGAAAGCTAATAGTAACTTATCATTTATTGAGCATTCACTATATGCCAAATACTTTTACACATTTAATCCTCACATCAATTCTATAGTAAGGTAGATGCTTAAAAAGCTCCATCTTGCTCTGAGAAACTGAGGCACAGACATTTTATTTGCCCAAAATTGCAAGCATTAAGTGGTACAACCAGATCTCTTTATTACATTTCATGCTCCAAGCCACTCAGCTGCAAACATAATATGGCTGGTTGCCATTTAGAGGTCCCAAAATATCTCTATCCTGCTCCCACCCTGTGCCAGCCAGCCTGACCAGCACTGAGACCAAGCCAGGAAGGTGGTTGTCTCCCTATTCCATTCCTACATCTTTTATTCATGGCCAGAGGAAAGTTTCCCCTGCCCCTTGGCTCACATTTGGTACATATCTTGTCCCCTGAATAGACTGTAAGCACCTAGAGGGCAGGGATAACTATTTGATAACTCCATATTTATGGAATAGTGTGTGTTGGTTGGCACCACTGCTAGGGGTATGTGTACATGTTTCATGGCCCAATATCCCTGGATCTGAGTCCTCTGCTTCCCAATGCAACCATGCCCCTCCCAGTCCCCATAAGTCTGCGGGAAACTGGGATACAGGGAAGGGTCAAAGCCTACATTGGGGTCCTCTTAGGAAAGGGACCTGAGGAAGGGAGAGGGGCTCTGAAGAGCAAAACCACTTCCTGTGTAGCTAGTTCCTGTGTTGACAGAAAGAGCTGAAGGGGAGGAGGGGAGTGGAGAGAACAGAGCCTGGCCTTGGGGGGGTCTACTGAGCCTCTGGAGATGAGGAGGCCAAGAGTCCTTCCCCACCATGAACCTCCTCCACTACTGCAGCTGAAGGAGCTTTTCCCAGTCTCTGTGCTCCCCTGGGGCAAGAGCGGTCAAGCAAGCAGTTTGGGTGGGAAAAGAGAACTGGAGGAAGTTGAAAGGGATGGGCGGGGCCAGTGGGGGGGCTGACCAGGAACCCAGCTTCCTGCTCAGTACCCAGGCATCCAGCCCCTGGCTCACCCCCACCCCTTCCAGCCCCCACTCCCCTCAGGAACCTAGGGTTCCAGCCCTCCTCCCAAATCCCAGCTATCCCTCCCCCATCAGTTTCTCTCCCCCCAGGGGATGGAGGCCGAGAGACCCCAGGAGGAAGAGGATGGTGAACAGGTGAGCTGCGCACTGGGTCGGGGAGGCTAACACTGGGAGAAAGGGAGGTGATGCGACATAGGGTAGAGACGTACTGACAGGGGATTCAGGGGACTTGGAAGGGCTTGGGCAAACTGAGGCAGGAACAGAGACACAGAGAGAGGAAATGGGCTGTTGGCCCACCACTCCCCCGCCTGACTGGACCGGATGTCTCCCAGCATCAAGGCCCCCATCAGGATGAGCAGGACTGGCCCCCTGTGAATACCACCACTAGGCCTTGGCGATCTGCTCCTCCGTCCCCTCCTCCTCCAGGGACCCGCCACACAGGTACCCTCACCCGGCCAGGGAGCTCCCTGACCTTGGTGCCCGCATCCTTCCTGATCCCATTACCAAGGCCATTCCCATCGTGGGCCCTCTCTCCATCTCCTAACTCCCCACTACTCCCCCTCAGCTCTGACCACAAATTCCTAATCACCTTGCACCACCACCCCTCCTGTCTGCCAATTTCTCTGGGTCTCTGAGCCCTACCCTTCCTTTCCCCAGCCCTGGGGCCCTGCTCCGCCTCCCTGCTCTCCCTACAGACTGAGCTCCTTCTGGATTTGGTGGCTGAGGCCCAGTCCCGCCGCCTAGAGGAGCAAAGAGCCACCTTCCACATCCCCCAGAACCCCCCAAGCATAGCCCCAGCCCCACTTCGGCCTCTTGAGGAGAGAGAACAGCTCTACAGCACTATCCTCAGTCACCAGGTGAGACGCCTCCCCAGAAGGCAAGACCCAGGCTTGCCAGTTCGTTGGCCCTTTATTGTCTTTTGGGCCCTACTCCTCATTTCCCCAGCATCCACCCCTTTGCCAGGCCTGATCCCCCCCATCCCCATCACAGGTGTCCTATAGACCCCTTTCACCAGCCTTGGCTCCTTTCAGGGCCTATTCCTCTTAAAATCTTACCGACAACCTCCCTTCCCTCTACTCCAGAGCCAGCGGATGGAAGCCCAGCGGTCAGAGCCTCCCCTACCCCCAGGGGGACAGGAGCTCCTGGAGTTGCTGCTGAGAGTTCAGGGTGGGGGGCGAATGGAGGAGCAAAGGTCTCGGCCCCCCACACATACCTGCTGAGACTTGAGCCCCTCCTCCCCACCAGGCACTCCGCACTCCTGGGGCTCAAAGCTGGGCAGCCCATTGCATGCCCTCTTCTCCTGCTTGGCAGGGGCGCCAGAGACTGAAGGACCTGGGAGAAATCTCAATATTCATCACCCTCATCCACCTTTCTGGGGAATAGCGGGGGTAAAAGTCCACAAACCCTGGGAATAGTCAAGGTAGGATGGTCATTTGACTCCCTTCACCAGTGCAGGGCAGTTTGAAGAGGTGAGAGGATCCTAGCCACTGAGGGACACCCCCTCCTCTGATCCCAAGGAGTGGCCGGAAGTCTTGGTCCTGAGCTGTGGAGACACCCCAGTCAGACACCCATAAGGCAGAATCTGAGGGCTCAGGCCTCCATCTCCCTAGAAAAGGCAAATCTCCCAAGGTTAGGGCCTTGAGACACATTAAGAAGGGAGACAGGGCATTGCAAAAGAGACAGACCATCCTCCCACCCTACCACCAGCACCCCCAGCCCCCAGGACTGAGGGGCCTACAGGCTGTGAACCGACACTTAGCACTGCCCACCCCGCCTCCCCACTGCTGCTCGAGTCTGATGTTCTGGTTGTAAGAATAAACGTAATTATCCTCTGGACTAAAGAAGACTGGTGTTGAGGGCTGTGGGGGAGGGGTCCGGGGGGGGCAGGAAGGTGAGGCCAGAGGCCGCCTCTCTCCCTAGCCTGGCGAGAGGCCAGCTCCCCTCCCTGGCTGGTTAATTACCGGCTCATTAAGCAGCGGCTGGAGACTTCCCTAATTATACCCCCCAGCCCCCCTTTCCTGGTTTTAATTAAGTATAACAGGGAGGGGAGTCATTAGAACAAGAAATATGAACGGAACTGTCTGCGAACCCAGGCATTCTAGCGGCCGGCGACCACGGCGCCTGGAGCCCCGCCTCGGAGCCCCGGCGGCGGCCCCCCAGCCCCGACCCGCGCCGCCCTCGCGCCGCCGACCTCCACCCGGGCCTCCGCTCCTCTCCCCCGGCTCTAGTCTCCTCCCCTCGTCCCCTCTTCCCTCTCCCCTCCTCCACTCGGCCCCAGCTCCTCGGTCTGCGAGTGTCTCTCTCCGCCCCCAGCTCCTCCCTGTTCCTCCTCTCTTCTCCCCTCCTCTTCCTCCCCGGCTCCCCTCCCCCAGCCTCCCTCCCTCGCTCCCCCCCTTCTCCCTCCTCCCTCCTCCCTCTCTCGCTCACACACACCCCCGCTTGGGCCTCCTCTCTCTCTCTCCGGCTCCATTTTCTCCGCCGCCGGGGGCCGGGGTCTCCTGTGGGGGGCCCAGCCGGTACCCCAGGTCTCCCTTCGGGGTGGGGGTGAACCCCCGGGGGAGCCGGGAGGGGGGAACGGGTGGGGGTTAGGGCGGAGGGAGCAGCGGCCCCACCGAGTTTGGGGGTGGGGAAGTAACTAGGCGGGGGGAGGGGCGGAGCAGGGAGGGGGCCTCAGGGCCCCCCCCCAACTATGGACGAGCGGCTGCTGGGGCCGCCCCCTCCAGGCGGGGGCCGCGGGGGCCTGGGATTGGTGGGTGGGGAGCCCGGGGGCCCTGGCGAGCCTCCCGGCGGCGGAGACCCCGGTGGGGGTAGCGGGGGGGTCCCGGGAGGCCGAGGGAAGCAAGACATCGGGGACATTCTGCAGCAGATAATGACCATCACCGACCAGAGCCTGGACGAGGCCCAGGCCAAGTGAGTGCCCCCACCCCGGGACCCTACACAGACCCAACAGAAGCCCCATTCACAAGCTCTGAATCTTCTGGGAGTCCCCACCCCCACCCCCCACTCCAGGACCCCCTCCAGGATCCTACAGCTTCTTCTCTCCTTACTCCTGGGAGCCCCAAGATGAGCCATCCCTCTCAAACCCCCCTTCACCACCAGGCCCTGAAGCCTTCAAAGAAGGGAACCCAGGGTGGTCTCACGGCAACCCCCTCCCCAACCCCTCACTGACCCCCATACTCCCCTGGAACATCTTTTCCATCTCCAGAGCCCTGTTCTGGCTCTCTGATTAAGAAATTGCTATGCTGTCTTCCTAACTCTCCATCCAGCCCACCCCCCACCCCATCCTCTCCAGACCTCAGCCCTCCCCAAAGCTCCTACCACTCCTCTCTACCATGACCCAGCATCCATGTGTCCCCACCCAGCCCGTGGCCCCTGCTCAGCCAGACTGGGATCATCAGAGCCTCCTGGCTTCCTCAGTCCCAGGACCCTCCGCGCACACCTATGTTGAACTTCTCCAGCCCCTCTCTGGCACCTCAAACTCCCACTCTTCTCCCAGTCTCTGTCTCTTTTCCTCTGAAATCTACCTAGTCACCCTCGTGTCGGCAGTCACCCCCAGACTCCCCTTCTAGACTCTTCTAGACCCATTTCCCAGGGCCCCGTTCATGCCCATGGGGCCTTTATCTTGCTGCCCGCACCTTCCTAAAGCCAAACAGCCCCCACATCTCCACATTCCAGGAGCTGACCTCTTTCCAAGAAGCCCCCAACTCCATCCTGCCCCCACCCCCACTTTCTACCTCCCTTCTCGTTCTGGGCTGCCCTCTTTCTCACCTTCATGGTCTCCCCCACCCCACCCCACCTCTGTTTCTATTGACCCTCAACTGTTCTCTCCCCTTCCTCCCAAGGAAACACGCCCTCAACTGCCACCGCATGAAGCCTGCTCTCTTTAGTGTTCTGTGTGAAATCAAGGAGAAAACCGGTACGTGGGTCCCCCTCTGACTCCTCACCTCTGGGGACTGAACCCTGTTCTTTATAGGAGTCAGGCCAAGAGTTTGACATCTTGGGGCCCTGAGGACAGTAGGGGTTAGGTAAGATGCTAGGAGGAACTGGGAAGGGAACTAGAGCCTGGGAACATGGGTCTCCAGGAGCCACCAGGTGGGCTGAGAGCCGGCCATGGGCTCCCTGGTCCCTGGGTTCACTCACCTGCCTGCTAGGCCTCAGCATCCGAAGCTCCCAAGAGGAGGAGCCGGTGGACCCACAGCTCATGCGCCTGGACAACATGCTTCTGGCAGAGGGTGTGGCTGGACCGGAGAAAGGGGGGGGCTCAGCGGCAGCTGCTGCAGCTGCTGCAGCCTCCGGGGGCGGCGTGTCCCCTGACAACTCCATTGAGCACTCCGACTACCGCAGCAAACTTGCCCAGATCCGCCACATCTACCACTCAGAGCTGGAGAAGTATGAGCAGGTTAGGAGATGAGGCTGGAGTGGGTGAGAGGAGAGGCTCCTAATGGGGAATCCCAAGGCTCCTCACAGCCCACGGGCCCCCTGCTGCAGGCCTGTAACGAGTTCACGACCCACGTCATGAACCTGCTGAGGGAGCAGAGTCGCACACGGCCTGTGGCACCCAAGGAGATGGAGCGCATGGTGAGCATCATCCATCGCAAGTTCAGTGCCATCCAGATGCAGCTCAAGCAGAGCACCTGTGAGGCTGTCATGATCCTGCGTTCCCGCTTCTTGGATGCCAGGTGGGGCTCGGGTGCCCAGGCGAGCCCCTGACCCAGGGTTCCCCCAAGCCCCTGGGCCACCATGTGACACAACATGGCGCTCCATGGCAATGGCCCCCTCTAGAATGATGCGAGATGGAGGCCCTGCCAGGACAGCTGGCCTTCTCACCACCATGCTCCCTCCTCTGTAGACGAAAACGCCGCAACTTCAGCAAACAGGCCACTGAGGTCCTCAATGAGTATTTCTACTCCCACCTGAGTAACCCATATCCTAGTGAGGAGGCTAAGGAGGAGCTTGCCAAGAAGTGCGGAATCACTGTCTCTCAGGTACTGGGGAGGCTTGCAGGAGCAGTGGGGTTCAGGTCAAAAGCTCTCTGATTCTAACTGAGAGGCTGATGGGGGGAAAGGTCTGCACCTGACCCTCCTTTCTGCTCAACACCCCACAGGTCTCCAACTGGTTTGGCAACAAACGGATTCGCTATAAGAAAAATATTGGAAAGTTCCAAGAGGAGGCAAACATCTATGCCGTCAAGACCGCCGTGTCAGTCACCCAGGGGGGTCACAGCCGCACCAGCTCCCCAACACCCCCTTCCTCTGCAGGTGGACCCCACTGTCATCCTGGCTATCTTGCACGCTTCCTGCCTTTGTTCCCACTTCCTATCTAGGCAGGATCTCAGCAGAGTAGGGGCCTTTTGGGGTGAGAGGGACCTAGCTGAGGTGGGGTGGAAATGTCAGGAGGTAAAGGCCATCCCAGCGAAGCTACTTCTGTCTTCCAGCAAGTGGCCGGGGAGCCACAGGAGAGGCTCAGAAACAGCCTGCTCCTCCTTGTTGCAGTGCCTTAGGGATAAATTGCATATAGTGGCACCCCCTTAGAACTAGTTCTGAGGGCTTCTTGGAAACAGCACTGTAGTGAGTCTTCTGTCTGCTGTCACAGGTTGTTACACTCTTCCCTAATTCCCTCTCTGTTCTCCCAAGGCTCTGGCGGCTCTTTCAATCTCTCAGGATCCGGAGACATGTTTCTGGGGATGCCGGGGCTCAACGGAGATTCCTACTCTGCTTCCCAGGTCAGGTGGCCCATGTCCCCTCCATTGGGGCTTTCCCAAACTCTCTTGCCTGCTCTTCAGAATATAAGACGCCTCACTGTGTCATACCCTTCTTTGCTGCCTGCAGGTGGAATCACTGCGACACTCAATGGGGCCAGGGGGCTACGGGGATAACCTTGCGGGAGGCCAGATGTACAGCCCTCGGGAAATGAGGGTGAGTGGATACCTGATGCTCCCTCCGTCTACCTCTCACCCAGACAGGAGGGCCTTTCCCCTGGTGGCCTTGTCTCCCACACTGGATCTCCCAAAGCCCTGCCCCAACCAACTCTCTCTTTTTTTAGGCCAACGGTGGCTGGCAGGAGGCTGTAACCCCGTCCTCAGTGACATCTCCGACAGAGGGACCAGGGAGCGTTCACTCTGACACTTCCAACTGATCTTGCCCCTCAGGGCCAGAGGGGTGGGGGCTCACAAGGCGACTCTTGAAGAGGACGCAGGCATCCAGAGGACAAACCCCAGACACAGGAGAAGCACAAGACAGAGAAGGGCGAATGGGGTCATCCTGTCCCCGACCAGACTGTCTCAGTGCTGGGGGTGCTAACTACGTGGCAGGGAGAATGGGGTCCCCTAAGGGGAGAGTGGGGTCTGTCTTCCCTTTTTTCAGTCTTTTTCTCTCACATAAACCACACAGCCCAGAGTCCTATTGTTCAGATCACCTTCCCCTTGCTCTACCCACCATATTGTATTCCATTTCTTTCTCTGGGCTCCCCTCCTCCGCCACCCCACTTACCTGCTCTGGGATCTGTGGAGAAGCCAGCCCTGCCTGACCAGATGCCAAAACTGGGGACATGACTTCTGGACAGAGGACACAGGCCATGAGCCCTGTTCCTCCCTACCCCCTGCCCCTCCAGATGGCTTTATTACCTCATACGCAGCTCATCTTAAACCAATAGAATCGTTCCGTGGACGAGAGTGTCTGACTCAGATATCTACCTCGGAGGGAGTTTCTGCTACTTTAGGGAGTTGTTGACTGGGCTTAGGGCTTGATTTTTTTTTTTTTTTTTTTTTTTTTGTTAAGGAAAGAAACGAAACCCTGGAATCCATCTGTGCTTTTTTAATTTTTTTTTTTTATTGCTGTAATTGGCTCTTAATTTTTAGTTTGGGGAAGTAGATGTTTTTATAAATATACTGATTTTTTTTTAAATTTTTTGCTTTTCCATGTTAGGGGTGATAGCCAAAGGGGTCGTAAGAGAAAGGGGAACAAACAGAACTTGTGAAAAGGCCCACCTGGTTCCAATCCTGTCCATCAGAAAGTATGTTTAGCAGGGCACCAAGCCTGCCCCCCCCCCGCCCCCAAAATCACTTAGGTGTTCTTTGCTTATGCAGGCAGCTCTTTGCTGCTCTTGGTATGGAGGTAGCCAGTGATTTGTTGACCTGTCCCCCCCCCACACACACACACACACACAAACACACAACCCTTGGGCAGGGCTGGATTCAGTAATTTTGAGGAAGCGCCACCTTCCCCTGTGAGTGACACATCTTTAAGTCTTCTTTTTAACCTATTTGCAGATTGGAGAGGGAAGAACAGGGAGGGGGTTATTGCCAAATATGTTAAATGTGGGTTGGGGTGCTTGTGTATGTATCTCCCTCAATTTCCCCAGAAACGAGGCATTCTTTTTTTCTCAGTCTAAAATCAAGAGGGTGGGGGGAGAGAGGAGGCATGTCACAAAAAGCCAGGTGTGGGGGAAAGTAAAAATAACCAGTGTCCCATCCTTGGCCAGAACCCTACCATCTGAGTCCCTCAAACATCCTCAGGATTTTATAAGACTGTCATAGTGGGGAACCTCTCCTGTCAAAGACCCAGGCAGGACTGGAGGGGAGCAGGTTAGATGGGTGATGGGTGGTGGGTGGGAGGCACGGGCCGGGGGCAGTTCTCTCCTCACTTGTAAACTTGTAGTTTCACAGAAAAGAAAAAAAAAATGCAGTTTTAAATAAAGAAATTTCTTTTTTCCCTGGGTTTAGTTGAGCATTATTTTCAAAAACATGATAAACCCCAGAATAAAATTCTTTCGTAAAACCCCAAAGGGTGTTTTCCCTTCCAGCTACCCACTCCCAACCTTGCCCTCACCACCCAGGGGCACCCATGGTTCACCCTCAACCCTCCCCCAAGGGAAACAGCCAGGCCTGAACCCTGTTGCCCAGCAACCTTACCTAAACAACATGGGGCTCCCATCGCCCACCAGGCAAGCCCTCAGTGGACTGATGGAATGGGTTAGGGGTCCTGAATACTAAGAAACCTTAGGAGGTCCACTCCCAACCCCCACGGACATGGCTGTGCCCAGACTGGCACTGCCTAAGGGTGGGGTGATCATTGTTTCTCCTAGTACCTGAAGGACTCTTGTCTAAGAAGCATGAATTCCTAGCATTCCCCGTGGCGGGATAGGACAGGATGGAAAGATGGGGGTAGGGGAGAGGGTGCAAGCCCCACCTAGGACGGTGGCCACAGCAGCAAGGGGCAGACAGAGCCAGAAGCCTGGGAAGGAACGATGGCAGCAGGGGCGGCAGCGGCAGCAGGAGCCTGGGTGCTGGTCCTCAGTCTGTGGGGTGAGCCACTCCCCTCACACCAATCCTCCCTGCAGAAAGCACTTCATCCTCCTCCCCCAGTCTGCCCAGAACTCTCCTGGAACCCAAGCGCTACTTTCCAAGCTCCCTCACCCATCTTTTGTTGGCCCCCCAATCCCCTCCTACTCCTCCACCATTGTCCCATCTCCCAGGAGCAGTAGTAGGTGACCGAAACATCACAGCCCGGATCGGGAAGCCGCTGGTGCTCAACTGTAGGGGGGCCCCCAAGAAGCCACCGCAGCAGCTGGAATGGAAGCTGGTAAGCAGGGCTCCTGCCACAGCTCCCCACAGCCAGGGCCCAGTGATGGTTGGCGGCCCCACCTCTCTGTCTCACAAGTCCTTTCCCAGAGGACTTGCACTGTTCAGGCTCTTCTCCTCTGTCCCCAGAACACAGGTCGGACAGAAGCTTGGAAGGTCCTATCTCCCCAGGGAGGTCCCTGGGATAGTGTAGCTCGTGTGCTCCCCAATGGCTCCCTCCTCCTGCCAGCAGTAGGGATCCAGGATGAGGGGACTTTCCGGTGCCGGGCAACGAGCAGGAACGGAAAGGAGACGAGGTCCACCTACCAAGTCCGAGTCTACCGTAAGAGTTCCAGGGCCATCTCCATGGCCTACCTCTCTTCTCAGGAAAAGCCTTCAACCCTAGCCCTGGACTCTTGGCCCTGGTGTGTGAGAACCTGTACACCCGGGGGTGGAAGAGTCTGTAAAGCTACAGCCTCTGACTGAAATTTTCTCTACTTCAGAGATTCCTGGAAAGCCAGAAATCATCAATCCTGCCTCTGAACTCATGGCTGGTGTCCCCAGTAAGGTAAAGAAAAGGGAAGCCATCCTTAGAAGTGGAAGGGGGTATAAGGCTGGAGGGGGTGTGCATGTATGTGTGCGGAGTCTCTTATTTTCAAAGACGATGAAGGTCACTCTTTCCCTAGGTGGGGACATGTGTGTCTGAGGGGGGCTATCCTGCAGGGACTCTTAGCTGGCACTGGAACGGGAAACCCCTCATACCTGATGGCAAAGGTAAGTCCCAAAGTTCCCCCTCCTGGCTGCTTTCTCTCTGACCCCTCTCCCACACCCACCCTGGAATATCTTGCCTTGTCCTCCCCTCCCCGCAATAGGAGTCTCTGTGCAGGAGGAGACCAGGAGACACCCTGAGACAGGGCTTTTCACACTCCAGTCGGAGCTGATGGTGACCCCAGCCCAGGGAGGAGCTCCCCACCCCACCTTCTCCTGTAGCTTCAGCCCTGGCCTTCCCCGGCATCGAGCCCTACATGCGGCCCCCATCCAGCTCAACGTCTGGGGTGAGTGGAGGCCCTCAGGGAGGAGGGAAGAGTAAGCCCATGACCACCGGGACCAACACAGGCATAACTCTCAACTTCATGCCCTCAACTCCAGAGTCTGTGCCTCTGGAAGTCCAAGTGATGGTAGAACCAGGTGGAATGCTAGCTCCTGGTGGTACTGTGACCCTGACCTGTGAAACTCCTGCCCAATCCTCTGTTCAAATCCACTGGATCAAGGACGTGAGTGACTTGGAGAGGGGGCTGGGAGGCTGGGAAGTAGACAGACACATTACTGGCAATTAGGAGGACTGGAGGCTCATGGGGAGGCAGGAGCTGGGAAAGATGGCAGAGTATGTGAGCATGTGAAGACTAAGACAAAAGTACAGATGTGGGGAGAGATGATGTAATAAATAGTCTCCTGTCCCCTTTCTCCTCCCAGGGCATGCCCCTGTCCCTTCCCCCTGGCCCCATGCTGGTCCTCTCTGAGGTGAAGCCTGAGGACCAGGGAACCTACAGCTGTGTGGCCATGCATCCCAGCCACGGGTCCCAGGAAAGCCGTGGTGTCAGTGTCGTCATTGGTGAGGAGACCTCTCTCCAAGTCCCAGGGCCCCTGAGGCTGGGCTAAAGGACAGCGCAGACTCCAGTTCCCTGGCCCACCCTGGAGAACCTTACCACCCTTCCTCAGTGCACATACCTCCTCTGCCCCAAGCAAAACCTCCCAAGAGAGCAAGTCTGTTTCCTCTCTCTTCTGAAACTGAAAGAAAAGACTCCATCAGGGCTCCCACTAAATAGCCTTCTCTCAAATCGAGACCCTCCCTTCTAACCTACTCTGACTTTGTCTTTCAGAAACAGACAAAGAGGGGCCAACCACAGGTGAGGGCTTGGAAACAGAATGGCCCCAACATGACCGGGGGATGGTAGACAACAAAGGAATGGTGAGCGGTAGGGGCTGGGCCCTCACTTCTCCCCATCTCTCGACAGGCTATGTAGAAGGGCAGGGGCTGGGAACTGTCGCCCTGGCCCTGGGGATCCTAGGAGGCCTGGGGATAGCTGTCCTGCTCATTGGGGCCATCATGTGGCAAAGACGGCAACGCCAAAGACAGGAGAGGTGAGTGGAGGAAGCCAAACATCTCAGCCTTGGGACCTCCAGGCAGCAAGGAGGGGTGTGGGGGGAGGAATGATGAAGTGCTAGAAACCATGTGCACAATTCTCCCCAATCCCCCTCCCCAGGAAGGCCCCAGAAAACCAGGAGGAGGAGGAGGAGGAGCGCACAGAGCTGAATCAGTCAGAGGAGCCCGAGGCAGCTGAGAGCGGTGCAGCAGGGCCATGAGGAGCGCCCAGCCAGACCCCATCTGTCAGCTCCCTTTTCTTCCCCCTTGCTCTCTTCTGTCCCCAGAGCAATTCTCTCCTGTATCACCTGTACCCCACCTCACCAAACTTGCCTCCACAACCAGAGCCTCCTACAGTGATAAGTAAACACCTCACCCATTTGCTCTCGTGCACACATATGGGTGTGTGTGTGTGTGTGTGTGACAGAGACACGTGTGTGAGACACCTGCATGTGTGAGATGCCTGTGTGACACACCTGTGAGAGATGACTGTGAGAGACACCTGTGTGTAAGAGATGACTGTGTGTGAGACCTGTGTGTGAGAGACACCTGTGTGTGTGAGAAAGATGCCTCTGTGTGTGTTTGTGTGTGTGTGTTTGTGAGAGAGAGAGGGAGAGAGACGCCCTCACCCTCTGAATCCCTCAGAGCCTTGAAGAAAGCCTTCACACTTCCCCACACCGTGCAAATGTTTACTCAAGTTGGGGAGATGCTCCTGTCCTGGAAGGAAGGGGGTAAGGACAAAGGTGGGCAGAGCTCCCATCAGTACATCTCACCTTGTTTATTGAATTTATAATAAAGGAGGTAGTGAAGGGAAGGAAGGACTTAAGAGTCAGAACCCATATTAGACACTGGGGAGAGAAAAATTAAGTCAACAGGGGTAAAGTAGGGGAGAGTCAGTGGGAGCCTTGCCCATCTTTCAACATCAAATCAACAAATGTGGGTGTAAAGCAAAAGATCAGGAGAGGGAAAAAATAGACATCCTCTTCCGTCTGTCCTCCTGTCCCAGAGCTGGGAGTTAGGATGCTACGCAGTGAGTTCAGGGCAGAAGTTTCTCCCATCCTCTGCACAGATGTCACACCTCCTCCCCACACCCTCCTACAAAGTGGCCAGGGTTGGCCTTAGCCAGTAGAAACGGAGGGATTGGGAGGGAGGGGCCAGGAGTAAGGAAGGGTCAGCAAGGACCCCCAATACTGATTCTCCTCTGGCTGGAGGTGGGCAGGAAGGAGACAAAGCTCAAATACTGAGCAGCCAGAAAAAGAAGAAGATGGCGAGAAACAGGAAGAGGGAGTCCTGCCAGCTGGAGGCCGGGTGACCCTGTCCCAGATCCACACCTGTAGGAGAAAGGAAAGCTGTGGGAGAAGCATCCACTCCTAGGTTGGGAAAAGGCCTGAGGGGACTCAGAGGGCTCCCTGCTTGGAGCTGAGGGAAGGCTCTTCTTACCTGTACCCCGACGGAATGGCTCATGGGTGTTGAAGACGGTGGTGAAAAAGCCAAAGGGAAAAGCACCAACACCAAATGAGAAGTGAAAGCCCCCGGTATCACCAAATGACTGGAATCCCTAGGAAGGTGGAGAAAGTCAGAGGAGAACTGGGCAGGTCTTTGGCAAGGATGGGAACACAATCAGACAAGACTCACCCCTCTGCTCTCTGAAGCTGGTCGCTGGCCCTGGGGGCGGGGTGGAGTTTTCAATCTGAGGAATGAGAGACTGGCTAGGGCTAGCAGCAAGGAATGTCCTCTCCCCCTCCACGCCCCACTCCCAGGCCAGAAGCAGTCCATCTTCCCTCAGCACCACCCCCTCTCTCTCACCTGGGATCCTGGGGCTTCTGGCTCCCTCGCCCATAAAGAGGGACAACCTTTTCTCTGCTGATCCCAGCTTTACACACTGGGCACTCTTGCCGCTCTGGCCGGGTCTCCAACCACTGAGGGAGAAAATGAAGTGGTTTCCAGTTCACAGTAGGGTTTTTCAACTCCTCAGACCTCCCCATTTCCCTCTTCATCTCCTCTGAGTACGCACCTGATGAAGACAGGGCCAACTAGATGGGGGGAAAAAAAGAAGGTCAAACTAGCTACAGTAAAGACAGACACGAACCTGACCTCAGAGTCCGATCGCACCCCTCTTCCCAGGTATTACCTGCTGTTTCTTTTCATGTTTTTGACAACCTATTCCATGCCAGCCAATTTGGCCTTCCCACCTCTCTGATCTTACAACGTCTAAAGTAATATTCATCCTCCAAGGTTCAACGCTCTTCTCTCCTTGAACACACATGTCCCCTCCCTTTTCTGCCTCTGAACTTAGTGTCCAGGTCTCTTCAACCAGAGCTTTCTAGATCTCCTGTTTCAGCCCCAACCCCATCCCTGCCCGCATCACTCCCCAACCAAACCCCCTTTACTAGCACCTGCCCCCACTACTCCTTTTCCTCTCTTCTAGGCTCAATCAAGTCCACCAATATTTCCACCATCCTTTAATTTCTCAGTGCCCTGGTCCTCAGGTCTGTCATACCACTCCCTACCAGTATCTCATCTGCAGGCGATCCTACATTCCCTAGGTCTCCCGTACCCGCCTAAGGCGTGCCTCCTCCAACCTTCGAGTCTAATCTATCTCCACCTGTACAACCAAGACTGTCACTTTCTGGGGTAAGGTGGCTGGGGTCTCACCTGGGCAGATGTAGCTCCCCCACCACCACCCCGCCCTGCTTCCTCTTAACCACAGCACATCCCTCAGTGCCCAGTTCCTAGGGCTCCCCGCCACACGGGTCTCCTCCGTGGAGATGTGACCCTCGCACCCACACATTCCCAGAGACCTCGGGCCTCGCCCATGGGGATGTGCCCGCCGACTATCCGTACGCGTGCCATGCCGCCCCCAGCCTCCCCAGTAAGGGGCGAGCCCCATTCCTCTTCACCCCCTGCCGGACCCTCACCAGTACAGGTGGCCACACACGCTGACCACGGCCTCCCGGGCAGTCTCCAAACATATGTTACATTCGAAGGTCGCGCCCGCCCCGCCCCGCTCGCGGTTTGGCCCTTCGGGGCCCCCGTCCTCCTCCTCCGCGGCTGCCATGGCCGGTGTTTCGCCTTCACGTACCCCTCAGTCTCCCCAAACACACACACAGACGCACACACGCCCCAACAACGAGAAACCGCCTCCAGCCCACGACCGTTGGGCGGGCTTCAAGGTTGTCTAAACACTACTGGTCTGAGTGGCTGACCATCACACAGCTTAAACGCCAGGATTGGCCCAAAGGGTAGGGAGAGGTTTGCGCAGGCCTGCCCTTGCACAGTGACGACTGGCGGGTACGCCTCCGCCAGGATGCAATGCGACAGAATGGGTGTCCGTCGGACCTGGTCGGCGGATCTTTATTCGTCCGAGGAGCTGCCAGTCAGGACCAAGGGCCAGAAGCAATTGGTCCGGGACCACACAGGCCTCGCCTCCTCCGAGCCCCCTTTCTTTGCTTCACTTCCCCTTTCCGAGAACGTCCGGATTCCTATTGGACTTTGGAGCGTAGAGCTCCAAAGCTCTGGATTGGCTGGAACTCGATGGAAATGGTGGTTAGGCAAAGTGCGCGTGCGCAGCAGGCGGCGGGAAGGGGCGGGCCAATCCCGTGAGTGCTAGGCTTTCTCTGGTCCCGCCCCTTCACCTCTGTCTTGTCGCCATGGCGACTGCTCTACGATTGGCGGGCTTTGGGGTTCAAAGGCATCCTCGCGGCCTCATCCGGGCCCTCCGACTGCGGTCTCTCTGGGCTGATTGGTTAGTTTCTTCCAGCCCTGATTGGCCGAGATCGGCAGAGACGGCCGAGAGCTTGGCGAGGTAGCAAATGCTATGGCCGCAGGGTTCAAAATGGCTCCGGCCTCCTTCGGTGACGTAGAGAGCAGAACTGGGGCTCGCCCCTCCCTTTCAGTGAAGAAGGGAGCAGAACTGGCATCAGCTCGACGTTTGGATGGTGCGAGCATCGACCTGCGGCGCTGCTGTTAACCCACCTCTCTCGGCTGCAGGACGCAGCCCGCTCCTCCTTAGGTGATTTGCAGAACAGAACGCAAGGCCCACACCTTTTTAACGTTGACATAGTATGACAGAGTTGACCCCGACCCCGTCTTAAACCTGAAAAGCGAACTATCCCCACCCCTTTGTGAGTAGGTGCCGAGGGGGCAAGGCCCGCCCCTCCTGAGCGACCCGCGGCGGAATGGGGTTAGACCCGCCCCTTCCGTCCTGTAGTGTGTCCCGCAGAAGTGGGGTCTTCCTCCTGGGTAGGACCCCCGGGACTTGGGCAGGCCAGAGCTTGGGCCTTCTCTACAGTCAGTGACCTCACTGTGGCCCAAGGAGCAGAACTAGGTAACAGTCCTCCCATACCAGTGTTCCTTACATCCTCGACCTCAGGGCGTGTAAATTCTAGCAGGGCGAATGTGTGTCTGGCAGCGGGGACAGACTCGGGCCGAGGGCAGGTCAGCACCCTGATAAAGGTCTCACGTGACCAGGGAGGCCAGGTGAGAGGAGGGCGGGGGAAGTGAAGGTACAGGATGCCGGGAAAGGCTTAGGAGAAAGGTTCTAGGGGAAGGGGTGTAGACCAAGGAGAGGAGCAATGCGATGATCCTGGTGTAAGGGACCAGGAAAGGTGGAAAGACGAGCGAGAGGTCAGAGGCTGGACAGGGAACAGATACATGCCTACAAAATTCAGGAGGCATGCTCGTCCCAGAGTAATCTAGCGTTCTCTCTCTCTCTCTCTCTCTCTCTCTTTTTTTTTGTTTCTTTCTCATTTATTTTAAAGCAGCCCTAATACCCAGTTTCTACTGGAAAAGATGCGCCCGCCCAGATTCTATGTTGGGGAGAGGCACTGTCTCAGCTTCAGTGATTGAGACTGACAGGAAGGAAACAGAAAAGCGAAAGTACTGAGGTTAAATAAAGATCGTGGAAGGACAGGGGCAGGGACAGGGCCGGAGAGTACCTCTTCTCTTTAAAGACCAGAGAGAGGGTTGAAGCACGGAGCTGGACTGCGGGGAGGGCAAAAGTCAGAGAGCCAGCGAGAGCTGGAGGGGCCAGGGAGATGGATGGAGCCACGGGGAGGAGACGAGTACTTGGCATATAGTAGATACCTGCAGATATCCGGAGTTGGGAACAGGAAAGAGGTTTTTGGAGGAGTTGGGAGTTGGAGGGAATATACAGCAGATAAGGCAGTTAAGGAGAAAGGAAGAAACCGAGTGAAATTTCCAGGAAGAGGAGAGCTGATGAAGAAGGAGTGGGCCAAGGAAGGAATACAGCACCAAGGGACACACGAGCCATGTGTGCTGGAGGGAGTTGGAGGGAAAAAAAGATGCAGCTGGAGCCAGAGAAGGCCGGAGACCGGCAAAGCCCAGCCGAGCTCTCGCGGGGCGGAGCCGCCAAGAGGAAACTGGTCGACTCGGGGAGGCGATTGGCAAGACGGGCCGCCCATCACCGCCCCCTACTTCCTGGCCAGCCCCGGAAACCCGCAGGCGTTGGGGAGGGGTAGGGGGATAGCGGCAACAGCAGCCCCGGCCCTCAGAGAGACAGCAGGGAGGGAGGGAGGGAGCTAGGGGGATAACCCCCCCACCACTCCTACCGCAATGGGCCCAGCCTCCCACTCTCACCTCCCCTCCATCGGCCGGGGCTAGGACACCCCCAAATCCTGTCGCCCCCTTGGCACCGACACCCCGACCGAGGCAGAGACACAGCCACCCGCCACCACCGCTGCCGCAGCCTGGCTGGGGAGGGGGCCAGCTCCCCGGGCCCCCCACCCCACTGAGGTGGGGGCGGGAAAGGGATGGGAGGAGGCGGGAGGAGGGTGCCGAGAGGGGATGGGGGAGAGATTGGGTCTGGGAGGCGGACTGGGGAGAGGTTTGCTGGGGAAAGGAGAGGGGCCCTGAGGGAGGAAGGATGGAAGAGAGACGGAGGAGATCCGAAAACCCTGTGCATTTGGGATGGGGGTGTGGACAGAGTCCTGAAGAGGGAATTCCTGACACCTTCCCCAGTTCCTTTTCCTGCCCTTTGGCCCCACATGACTCTTGAGGGGTTGTGGCCGGGAGAAGGTGGTTTATTGCCCTCCTTCCCCAGCAGAATTCGCTTCCTAGAAATGCCCTCAGACACCTCTGTTTCATCTGGGCACAGGACCTTCTTCAGTGGCCATCCACACTGGACTAGATCCTACTGACACAGATGCTTTGTGGGGGGCCATGTTTTCTACATTGAGTCCGTGTGCCTTTGACATGTTTAGTGGCTTATGTGCGGCCAGCCTCTCCCTGTGCGCTCCATGGACTGTGGACAAACGATGTGTTCTTGTCCGTCAGAATTGCCCATTCTCCTATCTTTGTGTCCATGTCTCTTGTCCAGTCTTGACATTGTTCAAATGTGAGTTTTTATATATTGCATCCATTGTGTGGTTTTGTGTTTTTTGCACATTTTATGCTTTTGCATGTTTACTTTTGCATGTAAAGGTTATACCTTGTTTTGTTTCATGTATCATATATTATTATGTCCATGATCCTGTCATGTGTGGTAGTCTTCGTGTGGGGGATCCTGTGGTTTAGTGGACTAGTGCACACTTCTGTTGTGATTGGGTTGGCCTGTTGGCTGCATGTGTTTTCCCAGTCAGGATTCACACCATACCTCTGCATGCTCCTTTACATATTTATCATGTTTACACTGATGTGGCCCTTCCACAGCATCTGTGCTTCTGGGTACACATACTATTTATTTCATAATTTTATTGGCAGTATATTTTGTGAGTCATCTGCACATTAACCCATTTGGCACTCTGTGCGCTTATAAGTCCTTGGACATTTCTGCTCCAGAGGAGGTCACTTAATGTCATACATTAGAAGAAAAGGTGACGGGGCCTCTGTTCCCCCAGAGAACCATCCCCATGTGCCTTACCTTGCTGACCTTCCTGGCCTGATCTTTCCAGTGGCTGTGGACAGCCTGTGTTCATGGAGGGCAGTGCATGCCACAGGGTCAGCTCTGCTGTGCACTTCCTCTGTTCCCCCACTCTTTTGCTGTGTTGGCATTTATTGATGACAGTAGCATCTCTCCCCTGTGGCATGTTAATCCCCATTCCGTATGTTTCTCTTTTGTGTGAGATGGGATGCGCCATCTTGATTGTTGGTGCTTCCCCTTCAACGTGACTGCGTATTGTATGTGTATATTCAGAGAAGGTTACTGTTAGGCTTGTTATGTTCATTGCTTTCTCAGTGACTTATCTTTTCACAGAGTGTAGCTATCGGATTCCTGATCATCTCTGTCATTAATTATGGCTGTGTGGGTGTGTATCCAGCCTTATAATCTGTTCAGTAAATGTTTATTGAGCAGCCTCTCTGCCTCCTTCTGTCCCAGGTATTGGGCGTTACTACCCTCAAGCTGCTTACAGACTAGGGAAGGAAACAAAAATGCCAGTGAGCAGTTATGTACACTGTGGTGTCAAGATCAGTGGTTCTCAAACTTGTGTGCACACCAGACTCACTTGGAGGGCTTGTTAAAATACAGATTGTTGGGCCCAAGGCCCAGAATTTCTGATTCAAGAGATCGGGGGCGAGGTCCAAGAATACGCATCTCTATACTTTGAGAACCAGTGATCAAGATAAAAGTGTAATGAAAACTCAGGCCAGGAGGGGTTCAAGAAGGCTTCCAAAGCGTGACGCTCAGCTGTGTGAGGCAAGTGAAAAGGCAGAAGGGCATTCCAGCCAAGGGAGCAGCCTGTTTGCAGCACAGTAGCTTGAAAGATCTTGGTATGCCTGAGGAACTGGAGTTGGAGCACAAAAGGCTTTTGTGGGGGCGGGGCCAAAGATGGAAGCAGAAGTCAACTTGTCTAAGGGCCCTGCAGACAAGACAGGGAAATGCTCGGATCTGTGTTACAGAAAGATCTCTGTGGTGGCTACGTGGATGATGAATTAGAAGAGCAGAATTAGGAGCCCATTGCAAATAGTCCAGGGGAGAGATGCTGGTCCAGACTTAACAGGGGCAGTGGGCTAGAACAGCTCAAAGCCTACAGCTTCAGAGTTGGCAGAGTTTCCTGTTTCTCTTGCCTATTACCCTTCACTGATTGGCACGGGACTTTGAACACAGACTTTCTTGTCATTGGAAGGGAGTGCCAGTAGCCTTGCTGGGAGTGACAGGTATTTGCCTAAACACCATTTGTGACTTCTGACCCTGCCCCCAATAGTGGGGCAGAGTGGAGGAAGGAGGAAGAACCTAGAGGCAGTTCTGTGTGCCCATACCTCTTCCTCCTGAATTCTTTCCTCTCCCAGAGCAGGTGGTATGATGTCTCTTTTACTCTGCCTTTTTTTTCCCCCTCGGTCAGGCCTTACATATTGTATCTGCCTGACCCAGTTGCCTCCAATGCAGAAGGGGGAAAGGGAGCAAAAGGATTTGTTTGCCTGCCTGTGGAGGCAGGATTGATAGATGTAGCTGCTTTGGTATGTCCATGGGTTTATCTGGGAACAGGAAAGGGGTGGAGGTAGCTACCTTGGTGGAGAGGGGGTTTTCTGGTTATGCATTTACTACATTCCTTTAATTGTTACCAGGTGTGATTTTAAGTTTGCCTTCTGGTGTGAGCAGGTCAGTCTTGCATGACTGTATGTGTTTGTTTTTGCATTGGTGACAGACCCTTTATTCTTGCCAGTCTTCTTGAGAATGGGTATTTTGGCCCTTCACTGTACCTGCTGTTGCGTATACCTATGAGTATACATACAGGCAACAGCGTGACCGTGGTTAGGAGTACAAGCCGCTTAGGTTTAAACTAGGAGGTGTCTCTTAGGGGAGCCATATCACCTCAGGTAAGTTATTTAACTTCTTTGGGCCTCTCTCCTATAAAATGTAAATTGGGTAGTTCATATTTAAGGGTTTGTTTGTTTTGTTTTGTTTAAGATTGTATTTATTTATTCATGAGAGATAGAGGCAGAGACACATGCAGAGGAAAGAGCAGGCTCCCTGCGGGGAGCCCGGTGTGGGACTCGATCCCAGGACCCCGGGATCACGCCCTTAGCCAAAGGCAGACACTCAACCACTGAGCCACCTAGGTGCCCCTTTAAGGGTTTAACATAGTCTATAGGCCAGCCCTAAGCCAACAGAAATATAATGCAAACCACATGTAAATTTTAATTTTCTGGTAGATATGTCAAAAAAGGTCAAAAGTAACAAGGTGAAATTAATTTTAATGATATGTTCTATTGAACCCAGTATTCTGAAAGGTTAAGATTTCAAAATGTAATCAATACAGAAGATTATTAAGGGAATATTTTACATTTTCATTCAGAGTCTTTGAAATCTAATGTGTATTTTTACACTTCCAGCACGTCTCCACTCAAACTAGGCCACGTTTCAGGTACTCAGGAGCCATATATGGCTGGTGGCTACCGTATTAGACAGTCAGGTGTAGACCATCCTAAGACCTTACCAGCTATGAGTGTTAGCTGTTGCTATTATTATTGTTCCCTTATCATGTATTTGTGAGTTGTAGATGTCCATGTCTTGTGTCTCTTGTCTTTGTGAATATTTCTGGGAGAGGGGTAGGCAAGCAGTCCTGAACTCCTCTTCCTCCCACCCCTATCCCAGAGAGGCTTCCTGGGCAGGTCTAGATGGGAGCCCTGACCCCTTCCTGTGTCTCTGGCCCTTGTCCTCATAGCTCCCCAAACCCTGCCTGCTGTGCCTTGCCCACTCCACTACCCCTCCAGGAACCTGGCCCACTGTCCCTTGCCCTGTCCCCTGCAGGTGGCCAGAATGGAGTTGTGGCCAGGGGTATGGACTGTGCTGCTGCTGCTCCTCCTGCTGCTGCTGCTCCTGCTGCCTGCCCTGTGGTTCTGTAGCCCCAGTGCCAAATACTTCTTCAAGATGGCCTTCTACAATGGCTGGATCCTCTTCCTGGCTGTGCTCGCCATCCCTGTGTGTGCTGTGCGAGGACGCAACGTTGAGAACATGAAGTGAGGGCCAAAGGGTTTTGGGTGATGAGAAAACCTAAGAGTCCAAAGTGAGCAGTGGATGGGGAGGATGTGGGGTTTGTAGGGAAGGTGGAGAGAACCCAAGGACAAGGAAGGGGAGAGGACTGCAAAGACAGTGGAGTAGGGGGAACCAAGGCATTTAGATGGACATCAGTGGGTCCTGCTGGAACCCCTTGCCATGATCCCACAGGATCTTGCGCCTGATGCTGCTCCACATCAAATACCTGTACGGGATCCGAGTGGAGGTGCGTGGGGCTCACCACTTCCCTCCCTCACAGCCCTACGTCGTGGTCTCCAACCACCAGAGCTCACTCGACCTGCTTGGTGAGATCCCTCATAGGGCACACCTCCCCCAGCCATGCCCTTCCTCCTTCCCCAGAATCTCCTCTGGGGGGCCTCACCTACCCCGCATCTAAACGTTGCCCCCTGGCTCCCCTATCCCTTCCCCCAGGACTTCTTACCCTCATATACAGGCTAATATATGTTTAATCACCTCTTCCACCACTCAGGTCTTCCCACCCCCTTCCTTCAGTCTGCCTCTTCCTTTATCTCCAGTCCTTCATAGTGTGGGTGATGACCTGCTTCCCATAATACTTTGCCTCCACTATGGCCTTCACCCATCCTACCTTTGCCCTAGGGATGATGGAGGTACTGCCAGGCCGCTGTGTACCCATCGCCAAGCGTGAGCTGCTGTGGGCTGGCTCCGCTGGACTGGCCTGCTGGCTGGCAGGAGTTATCTTCATCGACCGGAAGCGCACTGGGGATGCCATCAGTGTCATGTCTGAAGTCGCCCAGACCCTGCTCACCCAGGACGTGAGTCACCCTGTGGAACAGGAGGGTCGGGGCATTGTGGAGTAGAGCACTTGCAAATAGACTGAGATGCAGGGCCAGCAGGCCTCAGAGGTCCCATTACAGCGGCACAACTATTACACACACACACACACACACACACACACACACGCACCCGTATGTCTTGATTCTCTGTCTTCCCCAGGTGCGGGTCTGGGTTTTTCCTGAGGGCACAAGAAACCACAATGGCTCCATGCTGCCCTTCAAACGTGGCGCCTTCCACCTTGCAGTTCAGGCCCAGGTAATTACTACTTCCCCTTCTGCGCCTGAGCATCCCCTGTGCTGCCGGCTCCCACCATCTCTTTCTGTCAGAGGCTTGTCATGGGGCCTTGGAAGGGAACTGTGGGCTGTTTGCTTCTCCCCTTCCCCAGGTTCCCATTGTCCCCATAGTCATGTCCTCCTATCAAGACTTCTATTGCAAGAAGGAGCGCCGCTTCACTTCGGGTGAGGGCTCTGAGTAGACCTGGGGCTGGGGGTGGCCAGAAGGGCCATGAGGGAGAAAGGCTGGGGGGACATCCCCATGAGGGGGAGGATTGGTCAGTGCCAGGACTGAGATGTCCAAAGGATCACCAGTGTGACCCCACACCAACTAATAAATACTTATTAAGCACCCACATACCCTGCTATATGGGTAAAGCTCAGTCCCTGCAAGAGGGGCCATTACTGTCCAGTGGGAGGAGGAAGGCCTGTGTGTGCAAGGCTATGATAACACTTGGCAGTAAAAGTGAAATTGAGACAATGGGGGCAGAAAGGGTGCTGAGGTGTCTGGATGGGGGGGGAGGGGCTTAGTGCAGGAGGGCCTCAGATCAGGTAGCAGCTGGCAAACGGGGGCAGTTGTCCAGGGTAGGGAGAAGCGGACAGAAAGGTTGGGGAGGGAGTGGCAGGAGAGCTCGGAAATTGTGCCCCACCTGTGGGCAGAGGCCTAGGCAGACAGGCCATGATGGTGCTCACCACCCCCCTCAGGACGATGTCAGGTACGGGTGCTGCCCCCAGTGCCCACAGAAGGGCTGACACCAGATGACGTCCCAGCTCTGGCTGACAGAGTCCGACACTCCATGCTCACCGTTTTCCGGGAAATCTCCACTGATGGCCGGGGCAGTGGTGACTATCTGAAGAAGTCTGGAGGGGTGGGCGAGGCCCGGCTCTGAGCTCCCCTCCCAATGACCCCCTTCTTCCACCCATACCTCCCAGCCCAGTGGGCCCTAAAGCAGGGCCAAGCCCTCTTCCTTGTTTCTCCTCTCCCCACTGTACTTCTCTTTGGAATCTTCAACTTCTGAAGTGAATGTGGATACAGCACCACTCCTTGCCCCTTCCCAGCTCCCTCCATGGACTCTCTTGCCTCAGTGCAGTCTACACTCTGACCCCCACCCACCTCCTGTGCCATCTTGTCTGTAGGACGGTTGCCTCCCCCTCATCTCCAGTGGCTCACCTACCCAAGGGTGTGAACACACCATCCTTTCCCCAGTGGACCCTCTTCCTTTGTGATCTTCTCTCCCTCTCCACCCCACATGGGCCAGTGGACTCGTCCATGCTATGGAACAATACCCTCCCGCAAGTCCATAGATTCAGTGGACTTATCCATTTGTGAGGACTCCTCACACTGTGGCTGGAAGCGATGCCTGGAACATTCCTGGCTTATCCTGGGAACACTCTTCAGCACCCTCACCCTCCCTCCCATGGAGCCTCCCATCAGTGGAGGCTGGACTCTTCTTACTCAGAGGTCTCGTCCTGCCCGTACCCAGGTGCCCAGGGGTGAGCATACTCCTAGATGCCAATTTGGTCTCCACATTTCTGCTTCCCCCTGTCCCTGTGGTACAGTTCTTCAGTGGTCCTGGCATCAATCCAGTCCCCTGCAGCCCTGCTGTACCATTCTAACTAGACACAAGGGAAGAGGCAGACATCAGGTGCTGTACTCACTTCTGCTCCCTAGGGAGTTGGGGAAAGGAACTGAACCCTGGCTGGAGGGGGTGGGAGGGCTTTTAATTTATTTCTCTTTCTTTTGAGGCTTCCCCCTCTCTGAGCCAGTTTTCATTCCCTCCCTGTGGCATTAACCACTCTGGCCTCCCACCCCAGACCTGTGCCCACAACTGGGGAGGTGGGCTGGGAGCAAAAGGAGAGGGCGAGACCCAGTTTTGTGTGGTTGGTTTTTATTAATTATCTGGATAACAGCAAGAAACAGAATAAAGATTGAGAGAGAGAGAGATCTGGGCACTTTCTGGCTGCATTTGTTAAGGCGTTGAAGTGGTTCTCGCCCAGGCAACCTGCCCCAGCCAGAAGACTCGGGTGGGCCCAAGGCACCCATTCTCCCCCCTGCCTTCAGCTCTTGGAAGTTTCCATCGCTCATTGCTCCTTGATGCCAGATAACCTTATCTGCACTTCCCCAGCTGGCTGATCCCAGAGGATTAGCAGGGCCAGTTTCTGTATAAATTAGAGGGCCAGGGTTCTGGAGAGGTTCCTTATCGGCTGCCGATTGAGACCTGGGCCCAGGCTATTGTCCTCACAGGAGCCTGGTGAATGACAAGGAGGCAGGCAGACACATTGGCTGTGGACTTTTGGGGCTGCCAGGGTACTGCAGAGACTCTTACCCAACAATAAATAGATTAGGGACAGGGTACCAGAGAAAGGGATGAAGTGTAGCTATCTGGGGACAGTATGGGGAAGCTAAGTGTTGAGAAAGGGTTTGGGGGAAAGAAAAGTGAACAAGGGAAAGGTGTCTGGGAGAGCTGGGGGCAGCCATGGGGGGATGGGGGTTCAAGCAGAGAGGGACTGAGGACTCACAGGCACCTAGCCTCTCCTCCAGCAGCAGCACCTGGTCGCTGAGAGACTCAATCCTGTCGCTCCAGCCCCATAGCTCCGCCACCTGTTCTGGCTGTAACTCTTCAGGTGGCATGGGCAGCACAGCTCGGACCCAGGCCCCAGCCTGACCGGCCCACTACAAAGGAAGACACCTCAAGAGTATTGGAGGTGGGGCACACCCCACCCAGGGGGTTTGGCCCAGGCATCTACCCTTACCTGCTCCAGCCGCTCCAGGCGCCCCCGCAGCTCCCGAATCTCCCGCCTCAAGGCGTGCTCATCATGTTCTGCTTCCCGAACTGGGACAAAAGGGAGTGGCGTCACCCGCTGCCACTGAGCCCGGGCCCTCACTGCCACCCTTACTGCCACCCACTCACCCGCCACGCTGAGGACGCTGGCGCCAGTTGGGGACTCCAGGTTGCCCTCTGCACAGGTGCGCCCATCTGGGCCCAGCACCAGACCTTGGGGACAACCACAGGTGAAGCTGCCTGCCGTGTTGAGGCAATGGTGTGAGCAGAGGGTGACGCCAGTCCTACATTCATCCACATCTAGTTAACAGAAAGAGGAGAGGGCTGAAGGGGGGGCGGGGGGAGCTGGTGCCCCAAGGGGAGTGAGGTCCTGGCACCACTGGAGGAGGAAGGGAACTCACCCACGTGACAGTGCTTCCCACCCCAGCCTGGGGCGCACTGGCACTGCTCTGGCCTGACACAGACACCTCGGTTCAGACAGGGCTTGGCACAGATGGCTGTGGGTGCAGAAGGGCAGTTCAAAACAGGACCAACAACCAGCCTCCCCAGCCCCGCAGCGCACCCCTGTCCCCAGGCCTGGGAAGACCCAGTCTCACCTTCATCACAGGTGAGCGCCCCTGGATGCCGCTTCTTCCAGCCTTGGCAGCACACAACATGGGTCTGCTGCACCTCCCTCTTCACCTCCCTCCATGCCACTCGATATGTGGTCCTAGAACATAGGCCTGGTTCTGAACAGTGGTTTATGGGCTTTGGTCTGGGTTCTTGAACAACTTCTTGAAAGACTCCAGAGTCCAGGCTCCGATCTCTCACCTGTAGGTGCTGCAGATGCGCCTTCCATTGCACATGGTCAGGTAGGGCTTATACACTGGTTGGCTGTAGGACTCATTGTAATGGAGGGGGACCACCAGCATCTGCTTGGAGCAGACCCCCTGACTGCACCCATGCAAAGAAGGGAAGAGACACTAAGTGGGCCAGGCCCTGGGGGTGAGGAATCCTACTACCCTCAAGCTCAGCTGAGGCCCCCCCCTCCCTGGAGGGGACAGCCTCACCCCCATTCTATACTTCATGGTTTTGCCATCCCCCCCACCCCCAGCAGGGTTTCCAAAGCCCTCACCGCTGGCCCTGCCCCCTGTGTTATCACCTCTCTTTGAGGGATCCACCCTTGGCCCCCTGGACTGACATCAGTAGCAGGAGGGATGAGAGTCCGCCTAAGAGATTGTACAGCTCATCCCTGGACGCCATGATTCTCCTTGACTCCAAACTGCAGGCTGCTGGCAAGAAGAGGTTAACGGAGGTCCTTCCCCTCTCCTGTGACTGCTACAGCCCCAGCCCCTCCAAGAGCAGTCTGATAGTGCGCTCTGAGGAAGTCAGCATGTTCATTTGTACACATTTACACTAGCCACCAGGATTGTCTACACCTGTGTGTATATGGAAGGTGACCCCTTCATCCAGCACACACGGTCCCTGTAGCATCCTGCAAGTGCACGCCCCCATACACTCCCTCCCCTCCCCTCTACACCACAGCTAACTCTTCCTCCACAACCCTCCTATCTGTAACACAGCCTCTTCTATCTTAACTCTTCTACCTTCAAAGCCTCGAATACTCACATCCTGCACCCCAAACCATGGACCTGGAAACTGCACCGATCCCTGCTGCCTCTCTCACCAGCACCCCTCACTCACACAACACTTCCCAACGCACATTCTAAGGCTCACCCCCCAGTGACATGTTCTCCCCACCTGTCTTTTCCTCTCTCCAGAGACTCCAGCAGACCAGCCTCAGCAGCAGCAGCTCAGACTGGTGGGTGGGTGGGGCAGGCTGGGAAGGAGAGAAGGGGCTGGGCCAGACAATCCTCCCATTCCCCGCCCCCTCCCACAAGCGTCCTCCATAGCTCCTGCTCTAACTGCTCAGTGGGATCCAAGTCCCACAACCCTCACAACCGCCCCAGCAAAGGGCCCCCAGAAGTAAATTTCCAACTCTGAGGCTCCTTCTTCCTACACTCCCCAAATCGGCAGAGGCCACTGGCTCTATGACACCACTGGTCCCCCTGGCCCTTGCCACACCCCTCAACCCAACACAGGCTTGGGGAGAAGTGGGGGCAGAGAGAGAGACAGAGCTGGCAGAGGAAAGCAGGGTCAGGTCATGGGAGAAGAGGCAAGATCAGCTGAAGAAAGAAAGGAAGCGGGCGGGGGGGGGGGGCGAGACGCCCAATGCCTTATGGGGAAATTGCCCCCCATTCCTTGATGACATTTGTTAGGGCCTGGGGTGGGGGCGAGTTGAGTCTGCCACCACCCCCCAAGCCAGAGCAGACAGGGCCCTATTGTCTCCACCAAAATTCCTCCTTTCAAGGAAGAGGAGGCTCATTGTCCAGCCCCTCACCCAACTCTGGCCTACAAAGGTCGAAAAGGGGTGCAACAAATGCCCACCCTGACCCTTAGCCCCCTTGTCTAGCCTGGGGGTAGCAGGCACATTCCACCCATGAGGCTGAGGCACAAGCCACTGAAGCCCTGGGCTCAGTCCCCCAAGCTTAGGCTGGGACAGGAAGAGAATTGTCCTCTGCAGGAAAGAACCCACAGAGAATCAGGAACCCACACAGAATGGGCATTTAGAGAGCGGAAACACCAAGGGGGTCCCACCCCAGACCAGGCATCCGGGCACCCAGACCTCAGGCTCTCCATCTCCACCCTCCTTGGGGAGCCGGGTCCCCCTCACCTGGAAATGAGTCAAGCCACACTGAAGAAATGGAACTTTATTTCCATTAATACAGGGTTAACACCCATTCAATGGTAGCTAAAAGAGGGGCTGGGGCCTCAAAGAAACTAGGCTCCCAGGGGGTACCCCAACACTGAACATAGGGACTGGGGGATCCCCAAACCTGAGATGGGCCTCACGGGCCATAGATATTCCCCAACACTGACATTTCAAGAACGGAACCGTCCCCATAGGGGAGCCTCAGAACCCCACTCTCATGGGTAGTCCTTCCTGGGAGTTGGGAGGGCTGAGGAAAAGGGAATATGGGGAGAACAGAAGCTAAAAATGTCCTGAGTGGCTTAGAAGGAGACCTCCGTAAGTGAGCAGGGGCTGGGTTCTCCTCTTGTTCGGCCGGAGACGGAGCAGCAGCAGCAGCAGCAGCAGGAGCAGCCACAAGTTAAAAACCTGGTTTCTCTCTTCCCAACCTCTGCTTTGGGAGGGTGAGAGCACAGAGCAAACCCCAGACGTGATGTGGGGGAAACCAGGATTTGTCATTTAGGAGAAGAGGAAGGGGTCCTGGGAGCCCTGGTTGGTGCAGGCAGTGTGGGAGCAATGGGTGATCAGAGGCACACCAGAGCCTGACATCTGCTTTCCAAGGCCACTGCTTGGTCTCTGGGCTGGGGAGTTCCTGGGGGGTCCCTGAGGACATCCTCAGGAGAGCCAAGGTTCAATGCAGGTCTCATAAAGGGTCCGGTTGGAGTGCCAGGCCGTGTGGGAGATCCCAGCCATCGGACACCTCACTATGGCTCCCCGAGCCAACAGCGTCTTCAACCCAAAAGAATCCCGCAGATAAACCTTCAAAGTGGGCAAAGGGTCAAAGAAAGACAGAGGGAGAAACAAAGTGAGCTCCTGCTGCTGTCCCAGTCCCCAGTCCCCTCCCCACAGGATGAACCTTTCAGTGTCAGTGGCAGGGAGGTGGGACAGGGCATGAAGAAGTGGGAAGAAATCCCAGGGGGCTCACCAGTTGCTCCTCCATCTCCAAGACCGTCTCATTTGCATCATAGAAACCAAAGAAGCTACAAAGAGATTGAGGGTGGGCAGGGGAGGAAGTTATCAAGAGAGCTGGAGAAAATCAAGGTAGGTCAGAGGACTTGGGGAATTCACGGCCTGTTGAAACAGGCAGCAAGGAAGACATTCAAATATTTAACTGGATATCATGTAGCTTATGGAAGTGATACACTGAGGCCACAGCATGGCTTCTGCAGAGTCCCCTCGAAAATGTGTCACCCGAACCTACTCGTGAGGAAACCACTGACAAACCCAAACTGAGGGACATTCTACAAAATGGCTAGACCATACGCTCCAAAAACATAAATGTCAGAGAGGAACACTGAGGAAGTATTCCAGGAAAAAAAGAGACATAACAAGTAAATGCGACACATGATCCCAGGATGGATTTTGCATTGGATTTTTTTCCCCAGGAGGACAACTGGAAAATATTTGAGTAAGGTCTATACAGTACCCTATCCATGTAGGATAATGTCAATTTCTTGATTTTGGTAATTGTACTGGATATGTAAAGAATATACAGGAAACAGACACTGACATACTGAAGTTTTAGGGATAAAGAGACATGTCTACAACCTCCTCTCAACTGGTTCACAAACACACCTATGCCCCACATATATATTTACAGAGAATGCATGAGGACATTAACATGGTGAAATGTTAACATTTAGAAAACCTAGGGGAAGAGTACACAAGGTTGTTTTATAATACCTTGGTAACTTTTTAAATATGAACTTCATATATTTCAGCTCTTTGCACCTAAATTTTCTTATATGTCAAGTGAGAATTAAATAAGGTTTATTTGAGGGATGCTTGGGTGGCTCAGTCGTTAAGCATCTGCCTTCGGCCTAGGTCGTGATCCTGGAGTCCCAGGATCGAGTCCCACATGGGGCTCCTTGCAGGCAGCCTGCTTCTCTGCCTATGTCTCTGCCTCTCCCTCTGTGTCTTTCATGAATAAATAAAATCTTTTTTAAAAATTGGTAAATGTTTTATCATGTATATTTTAGGAAAAAAAGGAATCAAGGGCCTGACTTTACCCCACAAAGGCTCCACATCACTGGGCTCCCTGCTACCTCCTTCATCTCCTCTCCCACCTTCTCCCCTGCTCCCTGAGCTCTAAACACACTGGCGTCTTCATTTCTCATGCCTGCCCTAGGACCTTTGTTCGTGCTACTCTTTCCCTGAGTCGTTTTCCCCTCAGATTGTTGCACAGCACCTTCCTTCACTTCCTTAAGTTTCTACTCAAATGGCATCTCGTCTAGGACTTATCTGGCCATGATCTGACACAGGCCTCAGTCATCTTCCAACCCCCCTTCCCCTACCTTATCTCCACCCGAGATATATATTTACATTTATTATCTGTCTCCCACACCAGATCATAAGCTACATAATAGCAGGAACTTCTCTTTCATTTACCACTGCATCCCAATGGCCTAGCACAGTGCCTGGGTATACATACAGATCTCAATAAATATCTGCTGAGCAACTAAAGTAGCTTAGGTGACATTTCAGACCACTCATGAGATCTGCAACATAGGCCAACACATAGCACGATGGAGCCATGGATTTTCCTGAGGAACAGGATGGAGGGGACGGGGCTGGAGGCTATTATAGAAGTCCAGGTACGTAAAAGAGGTGGTAGGAAACATAAAATGGCATGGAACTATACACACATGTCCTACTTAGTAGGACAACTTCCTGGTTTTGATGTCGTGCTGTAGTTACATAGGATGCAATCATGGGGGGAACCAGGAGAAGGAGACATACCCAGGACCTCTCTAAACTATCTTTGCCACTTCCTGTGAATCTGTAATTATCTGTAAGTTAAGAGTTTTTACAAAGCAGCGGTTTACGGATGGAGAGGAAGTAGAGTCTGTAGGACTTAATGACTTGCTGGATACAAGGAGTTGGGGGATGACTCCCACGTTCTGGTCACAGGATACATAGAGGGTAGGGCATGAACTGAACAGTGGGAGATACAGGCCAATTTGAGGAATGAGATAAAAACTGCTGGGGGTGGGGGGTGTCCTTAGTCAATCTTCCGGCCACACAGTCCCTTATTACCTGGACTGCCAGGGGGTAATGACACCATCATCAGGGCCCCCAATCAGCACCAGGCGGCCCACACGAAGAAAGTTCTTCCTCCATGCTGAAAATTGGGAAGAAGAGAAAAGAAAAGAAGAGTCAGTCACAGAGGTCAGGCCAGGTTGGAGAGAGAGAGAAACATAGCGGGTCAGAGAAGCAAAAACAGGACCGGATAGGAGCCTGGGTCTCACCAGTAGCATTGGGATGATCTCTCTCCCCATTGATCAGGGCCAGGAAACTGCTGGCATTGAGGTACAAGTCATCATGGTGGGGGTCTAGATATAAACAGCAGTTAGAACTATACAGTCAGAGAAGCAAGGAAAAGAAGCAAGACCAGAGGCCAGAGGACCAATCAGGGACCTACGGTAATAGACAAAGTGAATACTAATATAATAGTAACAATAATAAAAATTGTAAACACGAGAGCAAACACTTTTATCCAGCCACCTTCTATGCCAGGTACTGTTCAAAGTACATTACATTTGTTAATTTATTTAATCTTCATAACCCCCTAGAGGGTAGTACTATATCATTATTTTACAGATAAAGAAAACAGTCACAGAAAGGTTAAGTAACTTGTCCGGAGAAACCCAACAGGGTCAGGCTTCAAACACAAGTAGTCTGGACCCAGCATCCGTTGTCTTAAAAACTATACTAGGTGTTTGCAAACTATGAACCATGGGGCAAATCCAGCCCACTGCTTGTCTGTATAAATAAAGTTTTATTAGAACACAGACACACGCATTTACCTATGGTGTATGGCTGCTTTCACACTACTGTGGCAGAATTGAATTTGTGACAGAGACTACATGGCCTGCAAAACCAAATATTTACTATCTGGTGCTTTAAAGAAAAACTTTGCTGACCCCTGCCCCACACTATACTCTGAAGCAATAAGGTAATACACAGAAAATATTTTGAACAGTGCCTATTCAGATGGTAAGTCATCCTTATCACTGCTGCTGCTGGTTATGGTACAGAGGGAGGCCGCAGGCCCTACGCCCAGGTGTCCGCTCCATGCACATCCCAGTGTGGCATCCCCTACTCACCATGCCAGTAGTTGCAGATGGAGAATTCCTGGCCCCAGGGACTATAGCAGATCCGGTAGAGGTTAGACCTCATGGAGGTAGGGAAGAGCCACTTCAGATAGTCCGTATCTGACAAGAGAACAGCAGTGTCAAGTGGCCCCCAAACCTCTGTGTCCCCAAAACTCAGAGCCCCCTATGGGGCTCACCATCCCCACTCACCTCCATACTGTCCCATTTGTGGAGAAGAGAGAGAGATGAAAGAATCCACATTGTGCTCATCCATGACGGAGAGCAGCGCCCGGCACACCAGGCCCCCTGGAGGCAGACCAGCACATTAGGCAGGGACTTAGGGACAGGCACTCCTTGTCACCACCACCACCACCACAATGCTTGTGAGGACACTGAGGCCCAGAGAAAGCAAAAACCTGTGGCCAAAAGGTTATATGTCGCCAAAGTGCCAGAGCCAGAATTAGATTCTGGATTTTCTGACTCTCCTTGTAGGGTGCCTTTTACAGCCCCATTATCCCATATGGGCAAGAGCCATGAGTAATGGCAAAAGGGGGCAACAGTGCAGGGAGTCTCCCTCCCACTCAGGATACAGAGCTAAGATCCAGGTACTGAGGGAAGTCAGAAAAGTAGGGCTCAGATAGTAGGACTCTGGCTGGGACAATATTGTTCAGAAAAGGGGACACTAGCAGGTGTCCCTCAGATAAGGATCAAGCCTCAGATAGGGCTTAGAACTTGGGAGGGGGAGAGCACCTACCCTGCGAGTAGCAGATGAGATGCACCCCTTGAGGGGCCTTTGCCATGATGGGGGCCACAGCCTCTCCAAACCCTTGCACCTGTTCCCACAAGGGTCGCAAGCTCTCTCTCCCATCGAAGAGATCAAGCACTGTCACCACAGTCCCGGGATGTGTCTGTGGGAAAGGGGCAATGCTGCAACAGGGGGTGGACTACAAAGCCCGCCCACCTCACCGCCCCCTGGCCAGCGTCCGCACTCCTACTGCGCCCTGCTAGAACCGGGGATCTCATCCTTGGCCTCTCCCAACGCCAGCACCAGCTACTCCAGGAAGGGAGCAAGCCCAGCAGGGCAGCTTTCCGTTCCCCATTCTCCTTCCCCAGTCACCACAGACGCCTCCAGTGCCCCACCACCGGGCGTCCCCGGCCAGACCTCGTTGATGTATTCCAGCAGGTGGCGGAAGCTGTACGAGCTGTCAAACAGCCCGTGCACCACGATGACCGGTTTGTAGGCAGCGCGATGGGGCGCGGGGGCTGCGGGCGGCAGCGGCGGCGGCAGGAACGGCAGCAGGAGCAGGATCCCCACCGCGGGGAGCCGCAGGCCCCTGCGCCCCGGCATGCTCCCGCCTGAGAAGGGGGCGATGGGGGCCTGTGAGAGAGAGGACAACACGCTCCCCTCCGAGCAGACGCCCGGCCCCCAAGATGCCCCTCCCCGCCCGCGCTCACTCTAGGTCCAGCTCACCGGGCAGCCTACTAGGATCGCACTTGGGGGTTGTGGGAAACACACCCCCTACACGCAGACTCACGACGCGCACCCGGAGCCCCGCCCCCAGCTCGGCCGGGACTGTCCCCAGGCCCATCCCCGCGGCGCACGACCCCGGGTTTTGTAAGGAAGACCCCGGAGCGGCAGCGCAGGCTCCTGGAGGACGCAAGCTCCCACCTGGCCTGGGTCCGCGGACTCCGCTGCGCCTGCTGTTTACTTCCCCCTAGACTGGAGCCCGCGGGGGGAGGGGAGGGTGTCCGGAGCGCGCGCGCAGGGGAGCGACGGAGGGGAGAGGGGAGGCTGCTAGGGGTCGCGCTTCGCCGTCACGTCCGGGGCTTTCCCTGACAACCGCGCCCGCGTCCCCCGTAACGCCGGCCGGGACCGGAGGGGCCGTGGAACATTCCACTGCATCCCGAGGGCGGGGGAGGAGACAGGCAGAGCAATCCATTTAGAGTCGTGGGGAGAGGAAGAAGTGGCGGGCCTGGCCCGGGAGCCGAGAGGAGGCGAGCGCGGGCCCTGCTGCACCAGCACTCGGAGGGGCTGAATTCTGGCCTGTTTCGTCCCACTTCCCAATTCTGGCGTCCGGCTCCGCCGCGGAACACGAAGTTCTCTCCCCCCGCCCTCCACCGGGGGCGGGGTGCGGGGGCAGGGCGCTGGGGACGAGACCGGAGAAAGACCGTCTCCGCATTCGGTCCCACATTCGGTCCCACATTCGGTCCCACATTCGGTCCCACGCCGGCGCGCGGGAGACCGGGAGGACCCCGCCCCGCCCCGCGCCTGCCCGCCGGCCCCGGGTCAGCGTCTTACAACTCCTCGTTATCAAGTGCGTGTACTGCCCTTGTCTCCAGGGACGCGAAGAGTCCTCGAGGCCCCTCGAGCTAGAGGCGCAGCCTGACCCAGTTTCTCCTGGCCTACTCTCCTCCGCCCCGGGACACGACCCACCTCCAAGGGGCGGAGGGCCCCTGGGGCAGCGCTGACTCACGCCCGCGTGGTTCCCGCCAGTCTTTCAACTTGAGGGACCCCCGCAACCTGCCCCGAGCCGGGAACTCGTGTGGGCGCCCCCCTCCTCCAGACCCCCGAGCTCCAGGCGCCCTGCACCTCCGCCAGCGGCCCCTGGCCGAGACACCGGCGGGCTTTTACTTAGCATTTGAAGGCGGCTCCCTAGAGGAAAGGATTTCGAAGCTTGTCTGAATCCCTCCCTCTCTTCCCAAGGTCTTGGCCGGTCTAAAGTCTCTCAATAAACCCGATTTGTGCTCTGAGGTGTGTCATGTGAGGATGGGGTGGCGGTAGGGGGTCTGGAACCACGCCGACGCCTCTCGGAAACCAGAATGGCCAGTTTGGGGCCTGACCTAAATGTCTGGGCCCTGGGACCCGTCCAGGCGGGGCCTCTGCACAGCTCTGTAGGCTCCGCTGGGACGCTGCCCGGGATGGCCACTGCCTCGGGCGGGGGTTGGGGAGGACTAATCTGAAGGCGGAGGTAGCAGAGGGTTAAAGAATCCCTGACTGTGTTTTTGCATGAAGTCCAACTCCTCTATCCTCTAAGTCTCGTTAGACTGCCCACTTCACCTTCCCTCCCCACATACGTGCTCCCAAGATACAATGAACAAACGAAAAGACCGCAATTACAGCTGTGTTCCGACACCCGCCCCCCCCCCACACACACACATCCTGCCAACTCAGGAGGTGGCGACTGGCCTTGGCAGGGGTGGTGGGTGGGTGCTGGGATTTTAAGAAATAGATCTGAACATGGATGCACTGGGGAACTCTAAGAAGCCTAATTACCAAAGGGGGAAAGGGAAATCACGTATTCCCAAAACGAAGTTGCCAGAAATGAGCTGATCCATCCCCTCCTTCCAAAGTGCTCAGCTCCTGCACCCCGGAGGAAGAACGTATCTCCTGTATCTCCCAGGAAGAACGTATCTCCGTATCCCCCAAGCCTTCTCTCCAATCTTCTCCCACGCCCTCTCCCCCCCAGTCACAAGCCAGACTCCCGCTAAACTACTATAGGTCCAAGCCCCCCAGTTTACCTGCAGCTCACCGCAGGCCATAACCCTGGGGACTCTTCAAGCCATCGCAGCTCTCAACTCTGCAGTTCTCTGTCATATACAGTTATCCTTCCTAAAGCGGGAGAAACAGAAGCTAAAGACTGGGGAGAAGATCCTGAGAACTTGCAGGGACTGTGAGGGAAACTGGGCAGGGAGGGGGTCCTGACTAGGGTGAACCAGATCCTGTGGGGACTGGGGTACAGAATCCACTGGGCACCTGCTCCCTTCCTCCCACAATGTCATCACTACAGCCAGTCTTATAGGGGAAGACTCTAGAGAGTTCTCCCTCCCGCCTTCCTTCCCTTAGTCCCAACCGCCTCGCCAGGTCTTGCTTGCCTCCCTGTTTCCATGACAACTCCAAGGGAGCCCAAACTGGGGGCTTGGATGCCAGGGTGAGAGGAGGAGACGGAGTGACGGTACCTCGGAAACTCCCCCCCCCTCCTCGGTCCCTTTAAGCTACCCCCCCTCCCAGCTCTCCCTCCGCCCCCCGCCGCTGTCTTCATCTCTCCATCTCTGTGCTGCCGGCTGCGCAATCTGCACACCGAGACTCCGACGCCAGCTAGGGACCCCGACTCCCACTACAGGGACCCTGTCCCAGCGAGACTGCAGGCATGTCATCGGAAAAGTCAGGTAAAAAAATAAAATAATAAAATAAAAACCTGCCCTTTCCACCATCTCCAGACTCTCCCCTCATCCTTGGCCCCAACCCCCTCCCTGGAGGCGGGTTGATTGTTTCATTCCCCTTCTGTCCAGCTCTCAACACCCCCCATCCTCCTTCTCTTTTTAATCTATCCCTCCGTTCTCTTCTTTTCCTCCTTCCAATCGCAGCCTCGTCCCCTTACCAACAACATGGAAAGGGGACAGGTTGAAAGGGTGAGGGAAGTAGAGTGGCCTAGCATCAGCCAGGTACTGCAAGGATAGCATCATTGGGAGTGACAGATGGACAGATGACACCGGCTCTCATGGAGACATTCAGTGGAGAAATACAATGATATGATCAGATGGAGGTTGGCAGGGAGTAAAATTCAGAACACCCTTCTTTCTCTGCCCTAGAAGAGGTACTGGGATTCCGAGAGGCTAGGGTGCCCCTTCCCAGGGCAAGGAGGCAGAAGGGAATATGTCATCCTACATGTGTTTATACAACTGTTGATTTGAACACATGTTAACACAGTGTTGCATGTCTACACACGTGCACATACAGGACCAGCTCAGATGGGCAAGCCCAAGGCAGCCATGGCTTGGGTGTGCAGGTGAAAGCTATGGCCATGTTGCTGAAGAGGTAGAAGAATGGAGGAGAGTTGCGACCTCAAAACTAGATTGAAAGAAGGGAGGGGGGACAGATGGCCTAGATTCAACCCCTTTCCCGCCCTGAGACCAAGAGATGGCTTCTCACCCATCTCCTCTGTCTCTCACATTATTTTCTTCCATCCCTGGCCCTCTGTGTCTCCCCCTACCCCCTTCCTCATCTCTTCTCTCTCCCCATGCCCCCTCCTCTGCTTACCACCCCCAGGCCTTTCGGACTCAGTCCCTCACACCTCTCCGCCACCCTATAATGCCCCCCAGCCCCCCGCCGAACCCCCCGCCCCACCCCCACAGGCAGCCCCTTCCTCTCACCATCACCACCACCACCACTACCACCAGTCCGGGACGGCCACCCTCCCGCGCCTAGGGGCAGGCGGCCTGGCTTCCGCCGCGGCCACTGCTCAGCGCGGCCCCTCATCTTCAGCCACTCTGCCGCGACCACCACACCACGCCCCGCCCGGCCCGGCCGCCGGGGCGCCCCCACCCGGCTGCGCCACCTTGCCCCGCATGCCACCCGACCCTTACCTGCAGGAGACTCGCTTCGAGGGCCCGCTGCCCCCGCCGCCGCCAGCCGCCGCTCCGCCCCCGCCGGCGCCCTCTCATACTGCCCAGGCTCCCGGCTTCGTGGTGCCCACGCACACGGGTGCGGTAGGCACGCTGCCACTGGGGGGCTACGTAGCCCCCGGCTACCCCCTACAGCTGCAGCCTTGCACTGCCTACGTGCCTGTCTACCCGGTGGGCACGGTGAGTACTGGGCTGATGAGGGCCTGGGAGGAAGGAGTGGGGACGCACTGGGGGCTGGTGGGATAGAGAAACTGGGCTAGGGAACCAGGCAGGTCCCTAGGACTAGGCCTACAGAGAGGAGGGACTAAGGAAAGGCTTGAGAGAGAGAGAGAGAGAGAGAGAGAGAGAGAGAGAGTGTGTGTGTGTGTGTGTGTGTGTGTCTAGCAGTTGGGGTCAGAGATCAGGGTCTGGGAAGGGGAATGGAGCAGGGAAGTCCAGAGGAGGCTTGATAGACGGAAAGAACAGCCTGGAGAGAGGGGGAAGGAGAAATGAAGCCTGGGGACCAAGGAGGATAGGGGGGGAGAAACCTAGAACTGACTCAATAGGGAAGGCCAAGCAGATATTTGGAGAGAAGTGAGGCCAGGGCAGCACTGGTGCGGTCATACCTTATGGGGAGGGAGTGTGGCGGCCCCTAAGAATATAGGGTAAGGACAGCAATGAAGAAAGGAGAGGGACCTACGTGGAATTTATGGGTGTCCTGGAAGGGTAGTGGATGACAAGTTTCTTTGAGAAGCAACATGCAAAAATCTGCTTTAAAAGCTACTCTGCCAGACGCAGAATGTTGGTGGGCTCAGGGAGGACCCGAATGACGTTCTGTCCTCTCCCGGCAACCTTCCTTCCACAGCCCTACGCAGGCGGGACCCCGGGGGGCACAGGAGTGACCTCCACACTCCCCCCGCCGCCCCAGGGCCCAGGGCTGGCCCTGCTGGAGCCAAGGCGCCCGCCGCACGACTACATGCCCATCGCGGTGCTGACCACCATCTGCTGCTTCTGGCCCACGGGCATCATCGCCATCTTCAAGGCCGTGCAGGTGGAAGGGGAGTAGAGGGCGGCGTCTGGGAAGGGTGGCCTCGCGCGGTTTTTCTTATTCTAAGGGGTGCTGGCTCTCCTGGGGAGCATCACCGACGGAGCAGCCACTCCAATCCTCTTTTTCCGCCCCTCCCCCGCAGGTGCGCACGGCCTTGGCCCGCGGAGACATGGTGTCTGCCGAGATCGCATCACGCGAGGCCCGGAACTTCTCCTTTATCTCCCTGGCGGTGGGCATCGCAGCCATGGTGCTCTGTACCATCCTCACCGTAGTCATCATCATTGCCGCGCAGCACCACGAGAACTACTGGGATCCGTGAGGACCCCCCCGGCCCGGCCCCACCCCTTGCCCCTCAACCTCTCCAGCGCGCTCTGCAGCCGCGCCGCGGATCCAGCAGGCGCCCCGCACACCTGTCCCGGGGGCCGCCCGATGTCGACACATCCTAAACTCTGCCTCCACGGAACTTCTCGCCTGGCAGGCACGCTCCGAATCCAGGTCCTCAGGAACCCCAAAAAAACCCACCCCCAGAAATACCACTTCCCGACATCCCCGCCAGATGCCGGGCCCCCAGCCACTCCAGTCCCCCGCAGCCACTTCACGCAGCGCCCCCCGCCGAGCTCCGTCCGCCTCCGCTCCGCGGCGAGAGCAAGGTCCCCAAAGCTCCGCCTCCTCCGTAGGCTCCGCCCCGGCCCCTACACGACCCCGCCTCCAGGTCGGCAGGCTCCGCCCTTTTCTGGTCCCCGCGGGCGCCAGGCTGACACCCCTGCCCTTCTGCCCGGCGCTGGGCCCGAGCCCCGGGGTAGCCACGCCCCCCCCACGCGCTCATTTCTTCCTAGTACAGTTTTGTCTCCTCCACCCCCTTCCTATTTTCTTGCTAATCCCAGAACCTCTACTTTTGGTATTTTTAGAATGAGATTTGGGAGGTTCCCAGTTTAGGACCTTTCACCCTAGGATGATGAAAGTCCTCGTTCTCTGTAAATATTTCCTTTCCACCTATCCCAACCGGTGGGCAGCCAGCCTGGCAGAAAGTGACCCCGGGCACCGACCTCCCAACGTCGGGAGGAGCCGGCCCGCTCCCCGCTCCCCTCGGCAGTCCCCACCTTGTTCTGATTTCTGTGTGAGTGTGTGTATGAATTTCTGAAAGAACATTAAAGAAACCAAGTGGATTTATCATCCTCAATTCCGAGGACTGCAGCCTTGCAAAGACCCTCTTTTTTTTTTTTTATTAAATCTTTTTTTTTTTTTTTTTTTTTTTTTACGATAGTCATAGAGAGAGAGAGAGGCAGAGACACAGGCAGAGGGAGAAGCAGGCTCCATCCACCGGGAGCCTGACGTGGGATTTGATCCCGGGTCTCCAGGATCGCTCCCCGGGCCAAAGGCAGGCGCCAAACCGCTGCGCCACCCAGGGATCCTGCAAAGACCCTCTTTTGTTAACCCCTTTTCTTTCCCCTTAGCTTCCCTTCCTAGGGAAAGAAAGATAAAAGAAAACAGAAAAAAAAGAAAAAGAAAAAGAAAACTGACAGAGACAAAAGTGGGAGGAGACAGATCCCCCAAGACATTGGAAAGACAGATACAACTCTGGGGGTTGGGAGGGCTCCATAGGAATCCCAGCAGGAATCTGGTCTGAGGTCCATTCTTGGTGGGGATTTATTTCCCCAGCACACATTTTCCCCTTCTACCAGACTGGGTTTAGGGCTTTGAGAAGAGAGGATTTACAAGTAGACCCCAGAACTCCAGGAAATCAGAAGAAAGGGACAGATTATTCTGAAAAAGTTGGTCAGAGACAGTATGACAGGGAAAAGATGCCAACTGCCTACAGCTATTCCTGCCTTCTGGCCAGAGGGCTGAAAACAACTTGGATTACTGCCCTGCGCGGTATGTTGTACCTGTATAACAAAGGCAAGGGGAGCGGGAGGCCATCTCAGTCCATTCAGGTTCGTATAACAAAAATACTATTTACTGGGTTGCTTATAAGCAACAGAAATTTATTTCTCACAGTTCTGGAGGATGGAAGTCCAAAAGCAGGCTGCCAGCACAGTTGAGCCTGGGCCCTCTTCTGAGTTACAAACTTCTCATTGTATCCTGACTTGTTGGAAAGGGTTAAGAGAGATCTATAGGGTCTCTTATAAGAGCACTAATCCCATTCATGAGAACTCCACCCTCTTGACCTAAGCACCTCCCAAACCCACCTCCTAATACCATCAAATTGTGTATTACAATTTCAACATATGAATTTTGGAGGGAGCACAAACATTCAGATTTACAGCAGACCCCCAGGGAGATCACTAGGCTTTTGAAGTCTAGCTGGGGCCAGTTGCCCTCTCCTACCCTGACGTCAACCAGGAGGCCTCTGGTGGGGGCGGGGTGTGTAAGCAGTAGACTTCAGCTGTACATCTGCAGGACAAAGTTCTATGCATCCGTACAACTTGTAGACACCATGCAGGATGCTGGCGAGACATCTGCCAAAACAATGGATGTGAATACTGACCTCATGGGGTTTATGATCTAGGAGAAAAGCCATGCACCAAGACAGGGGACATGGGAGGAGGATGGGATGGAGTATGGACATTGTGGGTTCTCCTTTGGACATTTCAGATTTAATGTGCTTTGCTCACCAAACAACTTGAAAAAAGAATTCACATTTGCAGCTTCCACTTCCTCACCAGCTACTCACTTCCCACCCCCCTTGTCAGGGATGTGTCTTTGTCTCTCTTTCATACCCACTATTGCTTAACCTTTTTTTTTTCTATTTCTTAACCCTTTAAAATATGCTTCCACTCCCTACTCTACTGAAACTGCTCTCTCAAATAATACCCAATGACCAGAAGTTACCAGGAGCCAAAATCAATGGTATTTGCATAGCTAGGTGCACACTGCCTTTCTGAACCCTCCTGTGTTTGTCTCTTGACCCTAGATTCTCCACTGTGTTTGTTCAAGGACATGTTATCTTTCCCCTCTCTACTTCCGCACACTTTTCTAATCATTCCCCCCTCTTCCTCCCCTTTTTCTCTCTCCTCCCTTCCCTAAGTGTCTATCTCTAGATCTTTTCCTTTTCTGAGACTTTCCCTTGAGAATCTCATCTACTCCAAACTCAGACAACACTTCTAACTAAATGATTCTCTGCCATAGACCAAATGTTAGTTTCCTCCCCAAATTCATATGTTGACGTCTAATCCTCGGTGTCATGGTAGGCAATCAGGTCATGAGGACAGACCCTCATGAATGGGATTAGTCCCCTTATAAAAGAGACCCCAGAAAGTTGCCTTGCCCTTTCCACCACGCAAGGACACAATGAGAAGACAGCTTTCTATGCACCAGAGGGGGCTCTCACCTTGTACCAAATCTGCCAGCACTTAGATCTTGGACTTCCCAGTCTCTAAAACTGTGAGAAATTTCTGTTATTTTTAAGCCACGCAGTGTATGGTATTTTGTTACAGCAGTCTGAGTTGACTGAGACATTCTCCAACCTATATATTTATATGTAGGCATTCTTCCAGTGCCTGTGGAATATGGCCACATGGACCAAGCTGCTGGTCCTCTAAACTCAGCATGTTCCAAACCCTCATAAATAAATAAATAAATAAATAAATAAATAAATAAATAAATAATCTCCCCACTTCCTATCTCTCACAGCTCCAGGTCTCCCTCAACACTGCTGTCAGGTTATCCTCCCTAAATACATTTCTTTTATAACTCCACTGCTCAAAAACCCTTCAAGATTCCCTATTGCTTACTCAATTATTTATAAAATTGTAATCTGGCCTTCAACCCTTTCCACCATTTAAAACCATCCAGATGGGCAACCCTGGTGGCTCAGCTGTTTAGCATCGCCTTCGGTCCAGGGCGTGATCCTGGAGACCTGGGATGGAGTCCCACGTCGGGCTCCCTGCATGGAGCCTGCTTCTCCCTCTGCCTGTGTCTCTGCATCTCTCTCTCTCTCTCTCTTCTCTCATGAATAAATAAAATCTTAAAAATAAAATAAAACCATCCATATTTATCTCTTCAACCTAATCTCCAAGCAAACTGAATTACTACTCATCATTCCCACCCCCTTCCCCAGGTCCTTGCCCAGCTATTCTCAAATCTTAGACCTCTTTCTCTAGACTCTTACAAACCAAATTGTTTGATGCTTGTCATGTGTTTTAGACCACATCTCAGCTTGTACTCACAATGTTCTCTTCCCTTCACATCTGCATCTCTACTTGGCCAAAATTTACCTACCCTGCAGTGGTTTCTAGGCAGAGCTCCAGGTATTCCTTGGAGCACTGATTCTTTTCTTTTTTTTTTAAATATTTATTTATGATAGAGAGAGAGAGAGAGAGAGAGAGAGAGAGAGAGAGAGACAGAAGCAGAGACACAGGAGGAAGGAGAAGCAGGCTCATGCAGGGAGCCCGACACAGGACGTGGGACTTGACCCTGGGTCTCCAGGATCACGCCCTGGGCCTAAGGCAGGAGCTAAACCACTGGGCCACCCAGGGATCCCCCCTGGAGCACTGATTCTTATCCCTGGCTATACATTGGAGTCACCTGGGAGCATTTAAAAATCCCAAAGCCTAGATCACATCCTGAACCAATTAAATCACAATCTCTAGGGATGCAACTCAGGCATCAATATTTTTTTTAGACATCCCCAGGTAATTCCAAAGGGCAGCTAAGGTTAAGAATTACAGGCTTAGGGACCACAAAGATAGAAGAGGTGAGCCCAAAGGATATGGCTTCAACTAGAACAACTTTCTTTGACAAAAAGATATGCAGGTCTAGGGCAGCCCCTGTGGCGCAGCGGTTTAGCACCCCCTGCAACCCAGGGCGTGATCCTGGAGACCCTGGATTGAGTCCCACGTCAGGCTCTCTGCATGATGCCTGCTTCTCTCTCTGCCTGTGTCTCTGCCTCTCTCTCTCTCTGTCTCTATGAATAAATAAATAAAATCTTTAAAAAAAAAAGATATGCAGGTCTAAAACCGATACACCGTTCACTTTATCTGCATTTTCCCATATTTTCCTACTGAGATCTTGACGTACATTACTATAATTATGAGTTACTTGAAGGCAGGAGACAACTTTGTCTTATGTCTGGTTTTTAGATCCTCATCAGATAAAATCTCTTGTACCAATCTTTGAACTCAATTGAATGGAAGAGAATTTGGCAGAGGAAGAAGCAAATGACAGTGACTTCCTCCAGATCACTCAGACTCCTGGAGTGAAGGCATATTCCATTTTTTAAAAATTTATTTATTCAGAGACACAGAGGGAGAGAGACAGAGACACAGGCAGTGGCAGAAGCAGGCCCCATACAGAGCCTGACGTGGGACTTGATCCCGGGTCTTCAGGATCACACCCTGGGCTGCAGGCGGTGCTAAACCGCTGCGCCACTGGGGCTACCCCGGCATATTCCAATTTGATTCTCCTCCCACTTTACCTCAATTCCCTCCCTGCATGGTGCCCTTGGCTCTTGCACCACTGTGGACGGAGAGAATCCATTCTCTGGGAGAGCCTCTAGCCCCTTCTAATATCTTCTTGGGAGATCTTATCCCCCCATGATTTGGTTCTGGGCCATCATTAGTTGAAAATTTAGTACCTAGGTTCTTCCGAGGTATCTAGGCCTTCCTCTCTACCACCACCTTTGTCATTTCATTATTTTTGGTGGCTTCAATATCTTGTAGCATCCTGAACAGTTCCTGGCCTTCCTCACTTCCACTGAGGTTTTTCCCTACTCCTTAGCCATTCTTCTTCCTGTGTCATACCTTCAACTTGGTTACCATCAATACCTGCCACCCTTCCCAAATCTATTCAGTCTTTTATTGTCACCTCCTCCTCCACTCAGCACCCCATTCCAAAAATTCTTCAATCCCACACACACTTTTCATCCATCAATTCTCTCACTCTTCTTTGATATTTGATCACCTCAATTTTTCACTCCCCTCATTACCCATTGTAGATCCCAAGGTTCCACACTATCATCATCACCTCTCAGCCCTTGCCTCTCTCCTTCAGACACAGGTTAGCCCCAGTTAAACCCAACTATGCCTGTTCCACACCCGCACTCAACAGCTGAATGTGTCTGAGGAAAAAAACACACAGTCATATTGACAGGTCTTACTTCCTTTCAGCCCTCACTATGGCCTACAAGCTCACACTTCCCCAGGCAGTTCACATTCCCCAGTCTGAGACCACAGTTTCACAAGATGATGA